AGGGGAGGAGAAGAAGAAGAAGAGGAGGGGAGACAAGGAGTGACAGGTTTGAAGCTGCAGTGAAGAAGAAAAGGAAGAGTAAGAGGAAGAAGAAGAATAAGGCAAACTCCTAGGGTGCCAAAAGACACCCAGGAAGGAAAAGATGTAGCAACACCTGGAGCGGAAACACTCCTGAATGACCGGTAAAGTTAATTGGTGGCATCAAGGTTGAAGCGAATTGGGGCTGGGGGAGGAGAGGAGGAGGGGAGGGGGGGGGAAGGTTGGAGCGAGTAAGAAAGTGGAGTGCGAGAAGGGTAAAGAGTCAGGAATCGTCACTAAATTCAAAAAGGAGGTTAGTAGGACACTACTGGGTATACTAACTCAGAGGGTTCATTTTCATGAACCGTGAACCGTGATTGATGTTGAAACAGTCTAGAAAAGAGGCAAAGGTAAAAATAGAGAGAAGAGAGAAGAAGATCGAGAAGAATGAGAAAAGAGATCGGAGACTTGATGACTGACGGAGGTCTGGCCTCCTCCTTCCTCCTTTGGAATGCTAGATATCCGTCAAGTTGTTATTGTTGTTGTTGTTGTTGTTGTTGTTATTACCTGCTGAATAGACGATGAGGATGATGACTATGATAATGATGATGGCATTAATGCACTCGGGCCTTTTTTTTTCGTCAGGTACGGTCGCGCAACACTCCATGAGTACTAGCTCTAAAGTTACGACGCCAGGGGGAGGAAAACCCACTCCCAATCGAGGTCCAGAACACTAGGAAACCCGGGACTATCTTCATTTTTTGCAGGTGTCTATCGGTCTATCGCTTCGGTCTATCAATCTATCAAGCCAACACTGATGATGTCGACAGTACAGTGCAATACAGTACAAAGCACATCTCACATACTCTTTTTTTTTCCCGGGATAGTTCAGACCAGTCCAACGAATCTTCCCAATTCATCCATTACAATCAATACTTTAGATGTGCCGGATTGCCGACAACCGCAGTTCCACGGTTCGCGGTTCGCGGCGGATGGAAATCCATTCAGGCACCCGACAGCCTGGTCTTAACAGATGGATAACGAGTTGCGATGGAGCCTTTGAATCTATCCGACCCAATCGTTCTTGTTCCGGTCTTGATTGTTGTTTCAGGTTTTAGAATGCGATGAGCATACGACGACCATTGCTGCCTTCCACGTACTCCCCCAAATTTCGACGCACACAAGAGACAGACCGATCCAGATCACTACTTTCTCTTTCTGCGCCCAAGTAGAACCATAAAATGTCGACGCAAGGAAAAAAGGATGGACGGGAAGACACCTTAAGACGAGTTCAGCTGCCACCGTAAATAACCTTATCCAATCTCCCGGTTGCACCATCGACCACCCACCTGCATGCGCCTGTCACACCATGTCAGTCCAGTGTCAAACTTCGACTCTAAGAATAAACTACTGGAGTCCACCGAATGCTGAAACACGCTGGCCCTGCGAACTCACACGGAACCCGGGTACTGACAGCAGATTTGTTTTTGTTTCCTACGCGCAACCCACGGCCAGCCACTAATCAAGCCGAAATGAAGAGCGACGGCCGACTAGAGGCTCCTGTGCCTATCTAGGCTGGATTAAAATTGCACGGGCATGACCGCCCAGCGCCCACATACACTCTAATCATTTAAAGGAAGACGCTTGACTTCGACTGGCGCATCTGAAGGCCGCTGCTTTACGGCTGCGGGTCAATCTCTCCATTAAATACGGTGCCGTGATGAAGCACAAGGACGGACAATCCATGCCTGATTGGAGCGAAGCTGTCAACCGGCAAGTGGGACAGTAAGTTAGCCGCGGCTATCAGGCTAGGCAGTCAACGAAGTTAATGGACAGGCTCAGTGGGTTGCGACATCGTCAGCGTCATCTTAGCAAAATGAACTTGCAAAATCTCTCTTAATCACATTTTGGATCCTTCGTCCGAGATGGGACACCGTGGTCAAACTAGACTGCAGCCACGCGGAATGCCAGTCGTCTATTCGGTGAGAATTGATTGAGACGGCTCAATGATAGCAATCCACATTGATTGACCAGGGTATGGCCCACCGAGTCGAAACCCCCGACTCAATTCGAGAGACAGTCGAACGTGGGAAGGCGAACTGGAGCATGGATCATGGGGTTTGCATTAGTTCCTCCCCACTTATCTATCGGCCAAGTAGTAGCAATCTATTCTGTTCTCTCTATCGACGACTGGCTAGGTTACCCCTGGTTGCATGATCAAATATCCTCTGCTTGTAGGAGCCCAGCAGAATTGCAATACTGAAACAATTATTAGGGGATTGTTAGGGATTCATAAGCAGGACTAGATTAACTACAGACTTTAGGCAGAGAAAGGGGATATTTGATCTGTGAGACGTCACGGGTATAATAAATGTAATCTCCAGTACAAGAGGGAACAGCTGGGCGGGAAGAGACTCTCCTGTTCGAATGCACAACCCCCAACAGCAAGAACAAATTACTCGTATGAGTCGATATAAAATCAAGGAATCAAGGAACTGAGAAGACGAGAAGGCGACCCTTGATCCAAATTTAGGGCAACCTCGATCCAACCGATTGACCGTTAAGCCCCTCAAGCCTTGCCAGATTATCAGCACGGGCACTTTTCAGATATTGCGATCTTGAAAGGGGGGGGGGAGGCAAATACTGACCCCAGCCTCAACCCAACCAAGGCGAACCAAGCCTTTGCAAGATCCGCTCTGCATTTCTCTGCTCCATCGCCTTGGCTCAGGCATGGGCTATCTCGAAGTTTGCTTCATCTTGACAGAGAATCAACGACAGATTTCACAGCCATAACCCCATTCGCAGCGATTAGTGACAGCTCTCCGCTAGTAACGTCCAAATCTCGCTTGAATTTGACTTGCCCCCTGAACCTTCTCCGCGACCCTCTCTTTATCTGCCCAGCCGGCCGATCTTCGACCAGTCCGGCAATGGCCCAGAACACCACTACGGGAAAAGATTGTCTCCGATCTGGAGAGGGGAGCATATCCACACGTGTCAGTGAGATGGTTTGGATCCATCATTCCATGGGTTCTTGGGCTCTCCAGACGGGGGTGGGTGGTCCTTGTGTTTCAGCAACGTTCCCAACTCCACCTCCAGTAGCAGAATCTATTGACACCGGCCGACGAACACTCACATACCACCAACATGAATTATAGCGAAGTCACAGGCTAGCAACCGGCCTATACGTCTCACAGGCGATCAGTCACAGCATTCCATTTAAACCCAATATCCCCATGATCCGAGATCTAGACCCTCATCTCTCCACCAGCGCAACTACAAATATCGAACTTAGCCTCCCCGACCGATCCAATCTGCAAGGATACATCTCGACTTATAGATCCCATACCACCTAAAAAAAAGCATTATACTCCCTTCCCGCTAACCCGAAGCCTCCCTGCGCACGTTAACCATCCCCAGCGGACGGACGACCGGCAGCAAGGGCGGACCCAATTCTTTCTTCACCCAGGGCCAGAAACGAAAAACTCTATGCAAGGACACATAAAACATATGAAGTCGAGGGCCTTACGAGCAAGTACGAGTAAGAAGAGCGCGGCCGCAGGCAAACATACAACACCATCAATAGCCACCTCGCGCCTTTCGATCGACCGTTAGACTGATCGCGCAAAATTGTCGAGGAAGTATGCAGCCACATCGTCAGATCCGCCTGTCAGTCATGAAAAAATCCTCCTGCGATCGTCGGGGCGTTCTCTCAGCCTGGAACCTGACCTCTTCCGATCAAGCAGTGGAGCTCCATCTTATCTACTGTCGTCATATGTGGCGTTTTGCCTTTTATGCAAGGGGCGATGTGATCCATTGCTACCCGGATTATGGAGTCAACCCACTTGTTCGTTCTTTGTAGAGTCGACATGTCGAACTGGATGTGTACATCCTCTCGCGAATGTAGATTATTCACTCGTGATGAAGTGGAAAAGGACTGCAGTCTTTAGTCATGGGGTTAACTACTGGATTGATGTAACTACTGAGTAAGCTTGAAGAATGTGGAAGGCGGCTAAAAGAAGGAAGCTCATCAAGTGGACTCACCTCCTTGGACCCGACCTCGAAAAAGCGACTTGACCCAGACACTTCTTCTCGAATTCTATCTTCTTGCCTTTTGGTTGGCCTACACCCAAGCTAGAGAGAACCGCAATGATACGAAATTCGAAGTGTAGATATACTCCGCCTCCAGCTCAGAATAGATCTGCTTGGTCTCATGCACGAGTCGTCGCTCGAAGCTAGCTTTTCCTCTCTGCCTCTCCACAACACCGGACCCCTCCGGTTAGTTATTGGCCTTGACAATATCTTCTCTCGAAGATCTGGAGACTTCTAAGTGCCTAGGCTGGCGTTCATAGGATCAGGCAAGCTGGTCTTGAATATACTGCATACATAGCAGGATAGCAGCCGAGCCTGATTCTCCGTCCCAGTGCATCTCGAGTCACATCACACACCAACAGCAATACCCTCAACAGCTCCTCGCCGGTCTTCCTGTTTGTCAGCATCAATTCGCAGAAATGCCTTATCGACCTCCCTGTCCCAGTCACTCAGAGCCACAACCGTCCATTCCAGAGCGCCAACCAGATACAGCGCAATGCATTGCCCAATCCAGAGACCCTTGACCCCCCAGCCATGAAAGGCCAGCCAGATCCCCAACGGTAGAGCACCACCGTAGTAACTGACCAGATTGACCAACGCGCCCACATGCTGTCGTCCCATGCCCCGAAGGCTCCCACCACAGCTCCCATTCAGACCATCAGCGATCTGAAACAGCGCCACCCACGGCAGGACTTCGGCCGTAAGCTCCACGACCCTTGCATCAGAGTTAGCTATCTTTGCGAAATCGTGACGGATGCCCATCAGCACAACCAGCACAATCCCTCCGAGCACCATGCTCAAACAAGCGGCGGCATTCGCTGCCCGGGACGCTCCCGCGGCATCTCGCGAGCCCAACAGATTCCCGATCCTCGAGGATGCGGCCACACCTACCCCAAAGGGGATCGTGTTGAGTACCTGATCCGCTGTCATGATGACACTTTGCGCGGCCAAGGGGATGGTCCCGAGTCGACCGGCGGCCAAGGCCACGATTTCGAAAGCCCACCACTCCGTGCCAACCTGCACGACCCCCAGGAGGGCCAGGCGCGCAAAGGTCCCCAGGTTCCGGAGTGCTTCGCACGACCAGCCACCCCAGCATTCAGACCCAGCAACGAAGCGTGTGTGCAGAACCAGCAGCCCAAAAGACACCCAGTACGAGATGCCTGTGGCGATCGGGGCACCCAACAACCCCAGACGAAGCGTATAGGAGCAGACGAAGTTTAGGAAGAGATTGAACGGAACCGTGATCAACAATACATAGGTTCCCGGACGCATCAGGCCTACTCGAATAGGTTAACCTCTATATTCTTTAGTGAGTGATATTATGAGTTCCACACTACCTTGCGCCTGAAGATACTTCTTCATCAACTCAAAGTATATATACCCGAGCCCACCCGGGATCAAGCAAGTCAAGAACCGGGCACTATCCGACGACAACCGGGGCTGCTGCCCCAATAGAAGAAAGACGGGCTCCGAACAAGCCCACAGCCCCGCAACCGGGAGGTAGAACAGGCCGAGAACGAGAAACCCGCGCTGCAACAGAACCCCCAGATCATGTTTGTTCGAGCTAGCGGTGAACGTCGACGACGCCAGCGTATCCAACGCTGTCGTGCCCCCGAGAGCGATCATCCACCCGGTGACTGCGGCGAACATGAACGAGAAAGCCGCCGTGGCGAGATTCTCGGGTGACGTGCGTCCCACGATCAGGATAGATGTCGCCTGCAGACTGTTTTGGAGCGCGTAGGCAAGGATCACGGGGATGGAGTCTTTTGCCAATCGAAAGACCTCGCCGAGGAAGGTCGGGACGTACCGTTCGTCCTGCTCGTGGGATGGGCATGCGGTGGGAGGGTTCGGCAGCAGAACAGTCGTCTCGTCGGGTTGCGGACAAGGATCACGGAAGGACCGATCATGATTTCCAGATGATGCTTTGGAAACGTTGCACATGCTTGCTTGCTGACGCTTCGTCGAAGGAGAATAATCTTGGTGGTTTCTAGACATCGTATATAGTGGCAGTGCAGCCTCTGTATAAAACCTCTCTTCGAAATCTCTGCGGGATCCTCAAGATGATAGACCAAGTCCAACTTATACGAGCCGTGTAACCGTGTCAACCTTATTTTCTTGATCTAAAAGCGTAGATCTCACTGTCACTGCCAGGTATAACCCGAGTGATATGTTGCTCAAGGCAGGCAGCGACGAGGTCGGAGGTCTATCTCATCCTCCAAGTCCTCTGAAAAGCCAGAAGCAAGGGATGTACGCGATGCAGCACCGAACCCTCCAACTGAGCATGTCCCCAGAACCTCGCCCATGTCGGCGAGACGAGCGAGATAGTGAGCGAGATGGAATTTGACAGGCAGTAGCTCTGCTAGCCTGATCCTCACATGCTTTTTCCTGTCCCGTGACTGTTACAGTGCTGGAGTCGCGATGTGTGGCTCCGGCGGGACGTAGGACCACTCTCCAAACCAGTCCTGCTGGCTGGGATGTGCTAGACTTTCAGAAAATAGGCAATTATTAGGAAGAACTTGCACTTGCAGAAGACAGTATAGCAAGGCAAGTCGTTCAGGAGATGCACACTTGGAATGACTTTGAGTAGAAGGATATCTTGCATTGGTCCATAAAATACTAGCATACTGGTCTATCGATCTGAACAGGAAGTAAAATGGTAAGTGGCTATGTAAGAAACAACAAATATCAGTTCAAATGATATGCATGACTTCGCCGGATGGTATCTACTGCAAACAGCCCCCGCTTGGAATCGACCAATTCGGAGCTCAAAATGAAAGAAAGACGCCATTTGCACCCTATCAAAGGAAACATAACCCCAAAAATCAGGACTCCGGCTGATTCTGTCCCAAATGCGCCTCAATCTATTGGTCGTGCCCATGCATATTGAAAGCGAACGCCTGCAGGAATGGAGACATATAACGATAAAATGTCACAAGAGAAATAAGAGAAGTGGAAATACCAGCAACGAGAAGGAGACAAGAAAAAGGTAGAAAGTAGCATACGAGACTACTTTTTGCCGAACAACTTCACCCGATAAATACATGTTTTATCGGCCCCCCAGTTGTTCTTCGCGCGAATGACGACCTTATCCACGCGAATCTCTGGGTCATCGATCACAGCATCAAGGATAAAACGTTGCGCATGCTGATCCGAGTTGATATCGTAAGTCCATCTTCCGACACGATACCAAGCTGGCCCGAGCCACTCGTCATACTGACCCCAGTAGGCTTCTTCCGATTCGCCGGGGTAGGCCAGCTGAAGTGCATGCATAACGGGCTCATGCAAGACGAAACGCTCATCATTGAACAAGTTGTCCTGCCCGGCGATATTCTTGGGGCGAGGCATCGGGTTGGCTTTGGACGTGAGATAGTTACTCCACGTCTGATCAGGATAAACCAAGGTGTCGTTTTTAACGCGGCGAAATCGGACCCAGAGCTCCATGTCTCGGGGAGCAAGTCCAGGGTTCAGTGCCGCTGCTTTGGGAACATGCTCAATAACAATTTCTTCAGGGACGATTCGATAACCAAGAAGAACACCAACTTGGGTCATCCCGTCGCGCGGGACGCTGCACCAGCAGTCTCCAATATCTTCCCACGCTGTCGCGACGGACAACGGGGGTTGCGGGCGGCGAAAATTCTCTTCCATAAAGTAACTGTACACTTTCCTCCTGAAACCGACCTGCTGCACAGTCGGATTCGTTTTGTGAGGGTCAATTAAAATCCCAAGTGGTACAGCTAAGAAGTTAGTTTTCGGAATGTACGTGCCAAGAAGTGTCCCAGTGGATACACCTTTTGTCGGCTGTGCTCGAAGATCGGCTTTGACTGTTTTGATGTCCCTCGATAGAGTTGATACCTGTGAGCCTAGTCTGGACATCTGTGCGCTGAGACTGCTGATCGCATCTAGGCCCGTCCCGTTCACTGGTCCATAATACCGGGTTTGACCGAATGGAATCATTCCGCCCAGGTAGTTAGAACTAGTCAGGACCACTATCGCCAGTGCCAACAGCGCAATGATTCGACCGACCGTGGATAATTTCTCACGCGTAGAACGCCCGACATCAGGCCATTCATTAAAGAGCGACTGCCGGTTGAGCGCTGATTGTTCCCTAGCAGATCCCTCGTCTGTGTGAAAGTGAGGAATGACAGTTTTGGTAGGGGCTGACGGTTGGGTCACAGGGGAGTCCTCTCTAAGAAACTCTGGTTGCGGTTCCCAATCGGGCTCCGGTGTAGTTTCCATCGCACCTTCTTCAAGCACTGGCGAGGAAGGAGACGACTTCGCGGGTGATGGTGCCATTGGTGGGAGCGACGCCTTTTTGGGAGTTGGTGTCTTCTGGGGTAGCGGCGACTTCTTGGGAGTCGGAGCCTTTGATGGTACTCTCTGAGGCGATGAATGTGGAAGAGGTGAAGGTGACTTTGAGAGTGAGAGAGACCTCCAAGGCGATGATGATCTGGCAAGTGATGGTGATTTCGGAGGTGAAGGTGACTTCGACGGCGATGGAGATCTCTCCGGAGAAGGCGCCTTCTGGGTCACTACCGATTTCAGCGGGTGAAGGGGCTTCACAGGAGGTGATTTCAACGGTGATGACTTGTACTGAGAAAGTCTTGAGTCTGGTTCCTCCTCTTCGTGAATAGTCGATACATCTTTAACAAATGCCATTCCAGAGACCCGGCGAGGAGGTGCAGTTATATTCTTGCCATCGGACAATGTCCGCCGCAAGTCGTCGTCATGAATATCTCGCTCGATCGAGTATGAGATTACGGACTCATTGTCAAGTCCAGACAAGCTGCTCAATGGCGGCTCGTCATGCGCCGGAACTCCCGAGCGCAACAGCGGCGACGGGTATAGCTTGTCAGCAGGTACATGGGGATATCGAGATTCTGGGACAGGGTCCAGTGCGGGACTTGAAGTGGTCGATATAGTATGCGGAATCGGAGGGGTAGGAGTTGCAGTAGACTGGTCGTTTGGGTGGTAATCATTGATAGGACTGGGGGATCTTGTCGCATCACGGAGTGATTCGAGTAGTTGCGTTTGGTCAGGAGTTGGCTCGCGGCGTGTTCTTCGTATCGGTGACATATTAGCCGACGAGGACCTGCGTCGGCGACTACGATCCGCAGTCGACGCACTTTCCCTTTGCTCCCGGTCTTTTGCATCCTCAATACCCTTCTCGATCTGGCCGGCCATTTCAACCAAATCCATATGAGGGTTGAGGACCAGCTGCCGGGGAAGGAGTGGCGTTTCAGCCGAGCCATATGCAAATGATTGTCTAGTAGGAAGGTTGGGCAAGGCTTGTGTTCGACTGTCCGATATCAATTGGTGTTGAAAGTATGAAAGAGCGCCCTCAGCGCGAGGCGTTGACCCGCTCTGCCTGACGGAACCGCGTCTGGGAGGCATTTTGATTAACCTCGAAAGACCGTATCGGAATGTCTATGTTCTAAATAGACAGAGTCAGTTTTCTTCCTGGAAGTGCATTGGGTTTGGTTTGAATCCGTGCAATAGATTGGGTCCGAGTGTCGCTTTACTCACCCCGTAAACTCCGTGTCGAATCCAACTCTCCGCAACCTCGGAAGAAACGTCGACGAATGCGCAGACAGCCGCGACGAGAACCGGAAAGGGGAAATACAAGAAGCAGTTTCAGTGTACAGATAAGAATCTTTGCCGAGGGATAGTTTGAGTCATAAGTCTGCACAAGGTGAAAGATGCGAGCTGGGCTTGAGAAGATGCGGCGAGGGCGACTTAATGAAGCCCGAGGAATGGTTCGGAGAAAGGTGGGTGAGAACAAAGTGACCAAAGAGTCCTTTGTTCGGAGACAAGCTATGTTGGATATAATCGAAGTAGATTTTGAGTTGTCATGCGACACAAAGAAAGCGATAAGTAGGCTTGTCCTGACAGCCTCAAGGAGATCGTTCTGTCCTCATCTGAGAAGAAGAGCCAGAGACGGCGGGAGCAGTAGGACGCGCGGGTTTCGCGATTCAGACGTCTGTTGCTGCGGGGTTGACGACGCCTATATGCTTCAGTAGGGAATGGAATGATTTGCGCATGAGAAAGACGCGTAACGCAAGTCAGAACTGGCAGGAAACGTGCCGCTGTAGAAAAAAGGTGTAAAGGAGATGCTGGAGCAACGATGAGGAAAGGAACTGGACCAAGAGGAATGGAGGAGGGATATCAATATTACAGATACCAGAGCGTTACACAGATAACTGCCTATTCGGGAATGGCCGTTACCACACTGCAGTGTCCGCGCTTTACAGTGCATCGAATATACAGAACGAATATCATGACCACAAGCAAATTACTCGATACCACAGAGTACCTTCAGTAGGTATTGATTGCAACGAGCATTAACTTGTACATGCCCGTGGCATGTGTGGATGTAGGAGTGCAAGAGTGGCAATGTTTTCAGTCTCGCGCACCAAATTACCTGCGCCATATGGTGGTTCTTCCCTTTGTTGCTTCTTCACAACCACAGTGTCCATGAAACCCGGACTACGCTCTTTATTTCCTCGGCTATTTTTATATATGGCCTTGAGGCAGCGTGTTTCAGATGCGAACAAAGAGGAATTTTAAGTATCGGGTAGTGGAGTGACCACGAGAAGGGCATCATGTATCAATAAGAAACTAGTTTACAACGGCTGATCCTACCGTAAGACGCCATGGTTCCTTTCTATGTTGGGCCAAACGTAAAGATAATATACAGTCGCTGAGGCATTCAAAGCAGTCACAAAACACAAAACCATCCAAATGCTAGCATGTACGTGGCAGGGTTTTGCATGCCATAGTTATGCATGGTCATCTCAACATGTCCACGCCGCAACGATACCGTCTTTGCGGCCTTCAACTAGGAAGCCATCCTTCAATCGCACTCGCTCCACTGTTGCTGGCGATGGGCCCTGTTCATCAGCGCCGACTCCGGCGCCGCAATCCCAGTGGTGGCCATCGGCTTTGTCGTAGACCTTCACAACGTTCTCTCCTGCAGCCGCAACAATCCGCTTGGTGTCGAACATCATGCTGGTAATGGGCTTGTCATAGGCGTAGGCATCATAGATCGATCCCATTCGGAGATCCCATATCTGAAGGCAATTAGCATCCAAGCAATCGAACCCAGAAACAAACGACATACCCTGATACTGCGGTCTTGACTTCCAGTGACCAGATGCACATCATCAAATTGTAGGCAGGTAACAGGGCCAGTGTGGCCCACCAGGCTACGATGAACCTGTCCACTGCGCAGATCCCAAAGACGGACCATTCCGTCTGCCGTACCGCAGGCTAAAGCGGCGTCGAAGCACTGGACAGCCCCGACAAAGTCCGCCGATGCGTCCGGCAGGCGTCCTGAGGGGCGCCATTGCGAATCTCCTCCCAGCGACGACGCCTGCGCGGCCGCCCACAATACATCGAGCGTTTGCACGCAACGCCCTTTGACCAGATCCCACTGTCGCAGTGTCTTGTCGGCTGACCCTGAAATCAGAGTGTCACCCTTGAAGTGAAGCGCGGTGATTTCGTCGACATGAGCATCCAACGAGTAGACGAAGCAGTCCTCCAGCGTGGTAGAATGGGATGCCACCGAAGCGTCGTCGGCTGGGTCGGTTTCTTCGTCTCCATCATCGCGGCGGGTGATGCGATTGTCGCGAGTAGTCATCGTTCGGGCGCGACTCAAATCCCATAATTTGACTGATGCATCCATAGAGCCCGTGGCAACAATGTTGTCCTCAATCTGAAGACAGCGCACCGAAGCATTATGCCCTTCCAGGAATCCAATGCAACGGCCAACATTGAGATCCCAAACCCGCACGGTGTCATCCAGCGCCGCGGTGATCATAGTACCGAATGGATAGTCGAAGTCAATCGCAGTGACCATGTCAGAATGCGCCGCCATCTCTTTGATCTCCGAACCCGGGGTGAAATGTTCGTGTAAAATCGGCATCGAGCGTTTCCCTGTTCGATCAGCTAGGGTTCCCTCACGGCATAGCAAAGGGGGACACTTACTTATTGATTTTTGCTTGACGCTCTTTGGGGAAGGAATTTTTTGGTAAATAGACTCGGACATGAAGGATGCGTCCATTGCCGGGTCTTCCGAAATGGTCGAGTCATCGTTTGCTGATGACTTCGGGGTCGCCGGGGCCTGAGCCTGCGCGTGAGCTGCTTCTTCTTGTTCAATATCTTCCAACTTATTATCAACCTCCGTCACTAAGCTTGGTCAGCCGCTAGTGGAAATCGCATATGGTAACCTTATTTCCTACTCACGTTCATGCTCCAGTTCGGCTTCCTCCATCTCTAAGCTGGCTAACCGGTCTAGAACGATCTTGCGCATGTTGTGCAAGTTTGCGATCTTGTTGTCTATCTCATGTATCTCCGAGCTGCACATATTCTTGCGAACACCCATCAGGTCCATCCTGCGGTTGAGTAAATCTCGTTCCTTTCTCAAGTCGGTGGGCGCGGAAGGTAAAGCGGCGTGCGTCTCCCCATCCTTCAATAGCTTCTTGCTCTTGGACGAGCGCCGGCGGTGGGCCTTTCTATATTCGATGTCATCCTGGGAGGCTTGAAATCCTTGGAAGAGCGAGTAAGAGCTGCTGTCTTCAGGTATGTTCATGAGAAGCTCATCAGGAAGGGAGGAGATGGCTCGCGATTGAATCTCGGATGTAGACAGTTTAGAGCGGACCAAATCGGTTGGTGTGGTTTGGGTCAGGGAGAAGACATTGCGCTGAGCGGCAGGGCGCCGCAGCTCGCGCTGGATGTCAACCATGGCGTTGTGGTAGTGGCCGCCGTTAGAAGATTCGGAAGTCGGTCCCATCAAGTGCCCAGCAGTTGATGTGACTTTCCGTCCAAAGGCCTCAATATGACGAGTCTGATCCACGGAAAGAGTGCCATGTCAGTATTGATCTGTTCCGCCGCCAATATCGTCAAGAGAACACTACCGTAATGCCGGTTCCTAAAAGACCATCCTGTTCGACAATATCTGATAGACCGGAAGGCGAATCATCACGACGGCGCCTGTCCATGACAGCGACACCGACGAGGGGGGCGAGGGAAAGCTTGAGACAATCAAGCCCATACGAGAATTGCAGCGATGGGAGCAGAAAGGGTCGTTCAGCAGGGTGCGGTCGTCAGTCGGGCAGTTGGTCGGCTTTCTTTAAGCCTTGGAGATTGCGGAAAGAAGTTCTGGATGGACGGAGTTGCACGCGATGAATTACCGTGTTTCGGGTGGTATTTTACTAGAGAGAGCTCGAGCTCAGTCTCCACCCAAGGAAGGGAGAAGGGGACAGTGGCTGTGCGTGACAGTATGGAAAGTGAGCGATAGAACCGAAGAGAATCGACATGTCGCCAGAAGAAAAGTGCACCAGATCCCCATATATAATCGAAAGGTCTTTCCCCCGCCATCACAGATTCATCCTCTTCAGACTTAGGCAAGGCAGGCAAGGAAAAGAGAAGGAGCAGGCACATGACATGACGGCATCACCAGCCACAAACCTGTGATCATCATAAATTACCTACCGCCTATGGTACGGTACCAGCACGACGAAGTCGGCCTAGCAATACCTATATTACCGTAATTACCACGTATAGATGTATAACCTCGGATTTAAAAGTGACTTAGTCCTCCCTGTCAGGGCGCCTTAGAATCGAAATTCGGCGACGAATCATGAACCAAATACTGGGATCTTATTTTGCTGTCGCGCATTGAGCTCGTTTAATTTGTGCAGCTGTCGGAATGTAGTCCATATGTCGTTCTCAAAATCGAGTCAGAGCCGTGAAGATCGGCAAGGCTAGTGCTGTAGGTTTTGTAACCTGCCCAGCACTTAAATCCGATATCGTTCCCAAGGAATGCTTGAAACCTCTACGTCGCCGATTCTCTGCTTCCGATAGTGAGATTAGATTCTTTTCTTTCATAAATTGATAATCCTGCAACATCATGGATACAGCCATTGACCTTTCCGATGTCTCCAAGGCGTTGGATCTCGCCAACATCCGCTTCCAGCTAATGTGAGTCGACGATCAGCCGGAAATAATCCTGCCCCTCCGTCCGTCCGTCACTATCGAAGATCCCCTCGTTCTTTAGACCATCGCCCACCATCCCTGCTACTCGCCCCCTCCCCCCACCGTTGTATGGCTTCGATTTCGTTGCATACCGCACAACTCAGCCTCACTCCCTGGGGATCATAGAACAATCCACTAATCTGCTTCCTATAGCCGACTTGAAGATACTATCACTTTTCATCTGATCGAACGAGTCCAATTTCCCCTCAACAAGCCCGTCTACACTCCCGGCGGTGTATCAATCCCCGAAACCGATATCAGCCTCCTGGACTACCTGCTTCGCGAGCAGGAACGCATTCAGTCCCGCGTCCGTCGCTACCAATCGCCCGATGAGTACCCTTTCTTCCCCGAGGTTCTGGAAGAACCTATCCTGGCGCCCCTGCAATACCCCAGAATCTTGCACGACAATGACGTGAACGTCAATGGCATCATCAAGCAACGCTACATTGAGAACATTCTTCCCGCCGTCTGCGCTCAATTCGGCCGTGAAGACCGCGGCGAAACTCAGGAAAACTATGGCTCCTCCGCTACCTGCGACGTCAGCTGTCTACAGGCCCTTTCGCGTCGCATCCATTTCGGCAAGTTTGTCGCTGAGTCCAAGTTCCAGAAGGAACCCGAGCGCTTCGTCAAATTGATCAAGGCCAACGACCGCGAGGGTATTGATGCTGCCATCACCGATGCGAAGGTTGAACAGAAGGTTCTCGAGCGCTTGGCCTTGAAGGCAAAGACATACGGTACCGATCCCGCCTTTCCCACGGAGAGCGGACCCAAGATCAATGTCGAGGCGGTGGTTGCGATGTACAAGGTAAGAATACTCTCCTGCTGTGAGGCCTGGATATTCACTGATTGTCTTCTAGGAATATGTCATTCCCCTTACTAAAGTCGTCGAGGTTGATTACCTGATGCAGCGCCTGAAGGGCACGCAATGGGAGTGAAAGGGAACAAGTGAATACTTGTTACTCACCTATGAACGGGTTTCTTAGATACTATTATGATACCATTAAAATGTGCAATAGAAGAAGCCGGGGTCCATACCATGTAGAATAGAGAATCACATGATCACAGTCTACATGGTGGGTAGATCAAGTATCTACCTGGATTTTATGACACAGATTCTCAAAGTCTTAGAAGAATGTTGTATCCCAAACAAAGTGCTTTTCCCAATGTCATACTAACATTCTTTCCTTGTCATGGTATTACTTTGAAAGTAGAGAGATACCGACCACCAGGCAAACAGACTGTGCAGCATAGTGATCTGACTCAGCAGCACAATACCCCGCCTTGTGATCAAATGTTCCCTCATTGGATTCTTGCCTTCACCGCCCACTCTAGATCGAAACACGTGCCCACAGGTCCCGCGGCCCCTGGGCGCTGCACGCGCGAAACCGACTGTATACAAAGCAAAGGAATTCATGATTCCCATTCACTCAATTTTGCGTTTGACCACCCAAACCTTTAAATTCCTGCCTCCCTGATTTTCTGACATGCTCTGAAATTTTTTTCTCCCTCAATCCCTCCATCCGACTGCCACAGTGACCGCAACAGCAACCACTCCCGATTGCTCGTCTGTGTGACGAAGTGCGTCGCCCTCTGGCGGCCGCAACCCGAAATCGCTTTGAACCCGCCCAACTCCATATCTCTCGTCATGAGTCAAACGTTGACAACAAGACAAGCAGAGGAGCTGTAAGCTTCTCTGCGAATTCCGATTTGAGTTGTCTGCTGATCCACTGATACAAGGCTAGGCACAAGTCCCTAATAGCTTATCTATCTTCCATAAATGCTACCCGAAGCGTTGCGACCATACGCGAAGAGCTCCCGATCGGCGACGGCTTTGACGACACCGCATGCAAGAAATATGAGGGGCTGCTGGAGAAAAAATGGACGAGCGTGGCTCGGCTACAGAGAAAGGTGCGAGCATTTTCTCCCTACCCCGCTTGACTTCACAGACCGCTTGCCCTGGGCGCGGGACTGGGAGAGGGGGGTTCGCATGCGCTGACGAACATTGTAGATCATGGACTTAGAGTCCAAGGTGTCGACCTTGCAGGCAGAATTGGACTCCATGGCCCTGACGTCCCGATCGCGACCAAACCAAGACCCTACGAGCTGGCTCCCCTCATCACCGGCGCGGCACAAATTTCAGTCGCACCGCGATGCAGTGACTTGCGTTGCCTTCCATCCTGTCTACACATCGCTGGCGTCGGGCTCCGAAGACTGCACCATCAAGATCTGGGATTGGGAACTGGGGGAACTGGAAAGGACACTCAAGGGCCACATGCGGGCAGTTTCGGGTCTGGACTATGGCGGACAAAAAGGGCATACACTGCTGGCGTCCTGCTCAAGTGACCTTACAGTCAAACTATGGGACCCTAGCAATGACTATGCCAATATCCGCACTCTTTCCGGGCACGACCATTCCGTCTCGGCGGTCAGCTTCCTGCCCAATAACGGAAATCTGCTCGTGTCGGCCAGTCGCGATGCCTCCATCCGCATATGGGACGCATCGACGGGCTATTGCGTCAAGACAATCCGTTCGAATGATAACTGGATTCGAGACGTTTCCCCTTCGTTTGATGGGAAATGGCTGGTGTCGGGTGGCCGAGACCAGGCCGCCACTGTGTGGGAAGTCGCAACGGCGGAGGCGAAGGCTACATTATTGGGTCACGAGAACTATCTCGAATGCTGTGTTTTCGCACCGCCAGCCAGCTACAAGTATCTAGCAACCTTGGCCGGCTTGAAGAAGCCTCCCCCTGCCACCAGCTCAGCCGAGTTCGTTGCGACCGGGGCTCGTGACAAGACGATCAGACTCTGGGACTCGCGGGGACGGCTGATCAAGACCTTGGTCGGTCATGATAACTGGGTCCGAGGCTTGGTGTTCCATCCGGGAGGCAAGTATCTGGTCAGTGTGGCGGACGACAAGACTATCCGGTGCTGGGATCTCTCACAGGAAGCCAAGCTCGTCAAGACCATCAGCGATGCGCATGGACACTTTGTCAGCTGCATCAGGTGGGCTCCCGATGTGGTGACGGATGATGCTGCGACAGAAGAGACCACTGAGGCTGGTCCTGGGGCTCAAAGACAGGAGGCGAACAAGAAGATCCGGTGTATCCTGGCCACTGGAAGTGCGGATTCATGTGTGAGGGTATTTTCATAGTCGGCGGGCGAAGACAAGAAAGCTTCAAATCTTATTCCCAGCGCTCTAATCTCTTCCTATTGTTCTATCTCACTCGTGACAGGAATCGCGATGCATCTATCCTTCTCATCCACTCTTCTTGCCCCCCAATTGCCTGCTGCCTATCTGGATATAAAACTTTACCGTGTTTGCTGTACATTTTTGAACATCATACCTTAGCAATGCATGTGAGGGAGCGGGATCATGTCTTCATATGCCTTTTGCCTTGCGGGTATTGCTGCCAAATATTTCTCTTACAACGCTGAGTCGGAGAGTAGTGGCTCGGGGGACTTCCTCATGACAAGTTCGTCAACGGTGCTGGTCTCGTTGCGGGCAGTTTCTTAGACAGCTTGATGAATGACATGTGAGAATAAATATCTGTTGAACCGATTCCCATGCGTCAGTTCGAGGTAGTACATGTTGAACGATGCTGTGTACAATACTGTCAATACTGTACACGTCCATGGATCTACCGCAACAGTATATTAGGCTCCCGCGGTCCTCACCGGGCGAACGAACCACGGCTACTTTCATTCTCTTTCCTCAGCCCACTCGGGATTCAGCCTCCGCTCCACCTTTCTTCCAAGTCCTCCGTGCATTTTCGAGGTTGCCAGTCGTTACTCCACAAATCCGCTATCTACGCTGTCAGTTTGCGATGTCCTGATAATAGAACTTTCAGAAAGTAGTTTGCGTGATGTGCGACCATCCTGCAATTGAACGTCCCGCTATGGTCCCGTCCATCATCGAACCAGTCGAGACCTCGGTCTCTTCAACTTCTCACGAACCACTGATCGACAGACCAGTGAGCCCAGAGACGATGTCTTCGAGAGCTTCATCACGGATTCTGCTACGACTCTACATTTCTCATTTCCTCTCGACATGGAATTCCCGCATGTTTGAATTCGGCGCGGTGCTGTTCCTGGCGTCCATCTTCCCCGGAACCCTGCTGTATGCCTCAATCTATGCGCTCGTGCGGTCCTTATCGGCGGTTGTCTTGTCATCATGGCTCGGTTCGGTTGTGGACCGATCCAATCGATTGACTGCGCTTAGACATTCGATCGGTACGCAGATGGATCTCTACCTCTCGGTCGGTAGTATGCTAATAGCATCCTAGTATGGCAGCGACTCCCCGTAGCGGGCTCCTGTGCCTGCTTTGTGGTCTTAATCGCTTCGTCGGACTCGACCCTGAGAAGCCTGCTCTTCTTAGCGACAGTGGTGCTGGCCTGTCTTGAGAAAGTAGCCGCTACAGCCAATACGGTAGCAGTGGAGCGGGATTGGGTGAGTTCATGATATGCACGATGCACGATCCTACGGTATTTCCTGACGTTCTGGGCAGGCCATTGTTGTCGCGGATGCATTGAAGGTTCCCCGTCAAGGTAGGTGCCCGCTGGCATGTTTTGGCTTGACGTTGGCTAACTGGGTAGATCTCAACGCGTCCATGAGAAGAATAGACCTCTTCTGCAAGCTCATCGCGCCGATATTTATTTCGCTGATTGACGGATTTTCCACCAAAGCTGCTGTATGGACAACCCTAGGCATCAATGTGTCTTGTGTTGCTGTTGAATATGTTGCCATCGCACAGGTATGCAGGGTCATCTCGTATCCGAACCATCGCTCACCAATTCCAGGTCTATGCTTCAGTTTCTCAGCTGCGGCGTAATGTGTCAGCTGCTGGAACGGAGGGCGTCCTGGGCAGTGCGAGTGAAACTCGGAGCGCAGCTCAGCAATTTCAACGGCGGATCAAAGACGCTGCTGCTCCCTGGACAGAGTACACCAGAAGTCCCCTCTTCCTAGCCAGTTTTGCTTTGAGTCTTCTCTATCTGACGGTCTTGTCCTTTGGCGCGACAATGGTCACATATCTTCTTCACACCGGTTTCACTCCACTGCAGGTCAGCGCAATGAGAATTGGTGCTGTAGCGGCGGAGCTATCCGGGACCTGGGCGGCTCCGTTCATCATGAACAGAATCGGACCCATACGGTCTGGGCTATGGTTTTTGAATTGGCAATTCGTCTGTCTGGTGACAGCAGTGGCGGCCTTTGCCTTGCTCGACCCCTCTTCTCAGGTGGTCGCTGTCAGTCTGATCGTGGGCGTAGCGCTAAGTCGGGTCGGGCTATGGGGATTCGATCTGTCCGTGCAGTTTCTGGTGCAAGAGGTAAGAAGTTCTATTGCAAGGAAGAAGTCCACTGCTGACAAGAGCAGGGAGTCGACGAAGATTGCCGGGCTCGGTTTTCTGCGACGGAAATGGCACTACAAAACATCTTCGAGTTGCTATCATTCGCGACTACCATCGCCTTCCCCTCACCGGAACAGTTCAAGTACCCAGTGTATATCAGTTATGGTGCCATCGCGATGGCTGCAGCTTGTTTTGCGGCGTATGTGCGCAAGGAACGGGGACATTTGCTCCATACGTCGAAATGCCTCGGTGGGGACAAGAAGCGGCTCCTGCCTGGAGAGGTGCTCTACCATAGAGTACCGTGAAGGAAGCAGGACTGTCTTAGGTCATATAGAAGTAATGATTCCAGTAAATACATCCGTGGAAATTACGGATAGGACATTCCTTGTTCCCTTGTTGTTCCGTAGACGCAGCGCGGTCCGCGGCGGGTGGTCCCGGCGACGGTTCCTGAACTCACGCTGGGTGATCGTCAGTCCCGCTTCACATCTGTGCTTCGACGCCAATAGACACCCATCATGCATACTCCATGTCAGATCTGTAGGTCATGGAGGTATCTTCCCTGACACTTCTATAACATCACATCTCACAAGACCGTATACTGACTATGCTAGACTCTTCAGGCACGTGGCATGGGCCGATCAGGTCCCCGCCGCCGCACGGGGTGTCTGACGTGCCGGTCGCGCAAGGTGCGGTGCGATGAGGTCAAACCGACATGTGCGAACTGCACTCGTCTGCGTCTCCAATGTACCTACAAGACCATCGTCCCGGGCCGTGTCCCCTATCGAAATGGCTCTGCAGCTTCCGCACCCGTGGCCGCTGGAACACCACCCTCTGACCGTCCCGACGTGAACTTCTTCCACACCGTCCTCTGTGAAGACGGACTTCCAGCCCCGTCACCACTGCGGCAGCCAGCCTCTGCCCATCCACCTACCGAGTCAGCTGCCGACTATGCCTCCTCGTTCGACATCCTCGGTCTCATCGGGGAGTTTACCTCTGACTTTCAGCAGAAGCACCTCGATCTAACCACGAATGGGCTCACTGGCTTGTCGGCGGGATCTGGGCTGGCCAGTGTCGTTACCACTACAGATGCCACCAGCTACAATGCACAATCGATGAACTGGGCTGCTAGCGCGGACATCAGCTCGACTCCTGGCAGTCTGGGCGATTGTCCTTCGGGAGAGACAGATGCCCCCGACCGGGAACAGACGCCGCACGAAGCGGAGCTGTTCACGCATTTCGAGACCAGCGATCCGCCGCCTACAATCTTTGGCCCCGTCGACCTGGACTGGACGTATGTGCGGGCACGAATCGTGCGTCAGTCGCGAGAATGTCGAGCTGTCTTACTTGGTATCTACTGTTACTCGGAGGTACATCAGACGTGGCTTGAGGGGACGGCGTGGGACCGCAAGTCAAGGTATCATCAGCTAGCGTGGTCGGAAGTGCAGTCATGTCTAGTCGGGAAGGTGTCAGAGCCGGTGCTAAGGCACGTTTTTGTAACGGTGCTGCTATTGATGTTGGCTGAGGTAGGTGATTCTTTAGAGACTTGCAGGATCGTGGGCTCACCAAATAGCTTCTGTCGAGTCCAGATCTGGGGGAAACGGGCACGTCCTTTCTCCACTCGGCCTATCTACTACTACAACGCTTTCATGGCCGAACCTGGTCCTGGAAGGGCGTGAGCCGCCTGACCAGTTCCTGGGTCTTGCTGTTAGACGTCAAGGCATTGATAGCCGGGCGTGAGGGCGATCCGCTTGTTGGCCTGGGGAGCCTTACACTAGCAGGAAGAGCTACTGAAGACCTACCGCTTGAGGAAAGCGATACTGCAAAGTATGAGGATGAGGAAAGCCCCGAGCCTGGGTTCCTCATCCGTGAAGCGGTCACCGGCCCGGCCTTTCAGTTCCATCTGCAGACGCAACAGATCCTCCGGCGGATTGTGTGCATAGACCTACACCACCGGAATCGCGGCACTGTTAGCGACGAGTTCGAGGTTCTCCAGCTCGCGCATCAGATCAGCGCCGACCTGGAAACGCTCTGGAACCGACGTCCACGCGTGCTCGACATCCACAGCACCCCGGAGCTGCTCCACGATACTCTACAGCCTGCGGTTGCGCGGGAAACATGCCGGACTTTCAGGCAGTACATTGCCAATTTCCTGGCGATCTTCATCTACTTGCACCGCGTCGCATTCGCCATCTATCCGCGGACGGACCGAGTGCATCGAGCCGTGGAGGGCATCCTTCATATGGCAGCAATCGACACACAGTCCCCAGCAGGAGAGCAGCGACATCTGCCTGCGAGTTTTGTGTGGCCGTTGTTCGTGGCTGGCTTAGAGGCATCCTTGGAGCAGCGGCAATGGATCCTGTCGCATATGAAGCAGATGAGCCTGCGAGGTGAGAATGGTGAGGACCAATCCCGACCCGCACGACACCCGCATGCAGAAAATGTGTATCTCCTGCTGCAGGAGATGACTAGACGGCAGGATGCATCGCGAACGTGGGCGGATTCACGCTGTGTGCGACGGGAATTGTTTACTGATTCCTTCGTGATGATCTGATTGATAGCCGATCATGATCGGCGCCCCGACCGCTGCATGCAACACGTAAGCGCCGGTACGTCATCTGACTCGCAATCTCCGCGAAAGACCTCCTTACTTCTTGTCATAATCCCAGACATATATCTCTCAGTCGCGCCGGGTGTCTGGTTTGCTGGGTATGGCCCATGATGCGGTCCTCTGTCTTGGTAACAGAGGATGATGTCCGTCCTGAGGATCCTCTCATCCAGCATGCAGACGAGGAATCATCTGCTCCGCTGCCGTCCCGCCATGCCCTGTTCCGTCTGTATTGGCTGACGGCCATAGTCTGCTGCGGGGGCCTGCTCTTCGGGTACGACTCTGGTGTGATCGGTATTTGATCTCTATCCCACGGGGCAAGGCCACATGAATGACACATACACGCAGGAGGGGTCTTGACCTTCGACTCCTTCCACCGGTCTTTTCGATATACCGCGAAAAACGAAACTCGCGTCAGTGCCATTGCCGTGGGCGTCCAGCAGGCTGGTGCCCTGGTTGGCAGCTTGGTCATCTGGCCCTTAACCAATCGACTCGGTCGTCGCCCAGCCATGGCCATTTGCTCTTTTGTTTTCTGTGCAGGGGTGATTTTCGAGGTCCTCGACACCCATGCTCGGTCTGCCTTCTACCTCGGACGTGTCATCTGCGGCCTGGGCATCGGAGGCTCCGCCACCGTGATCCCGATCTATCTGACGGAGATGAGCCCAACCTCAATGCGGGCCCGACTGGGCAGCTGCTACCAATTCACCTTCACGATCGGCATCCTGATTTCATATTGGATCGACTACGGGATGCAGTACGCGCCCAGCAACGCCGCACAGTGGCAGATCCCCCTGGCTCTGCAGCTCATCCCGGGCGCTCTGATGGGCGTTGGCATGCTGACTCTGCACGAAAGCGTGCGCTGGCTGCTCTCCCACGACCGCCCCGACCAAGCCTGGGACAGCCTGACGTGGATCCGCGCCTCGCGCGGGCCCGAGGTCAAGGCCGAGTTCCGGGCCATGCAATCGGCCATTGAGCGTGACGCCCACGCGACGGCCGACTTTTCTCCCTGGGAACTCCTCCAGCGCGCCAACGCGCATCGGCTGATTTTGGGCGTGGCCTTGTTCGTCTGCCAGCAGTCCACGGGGGCCACCGCCATGGCCTACTTCGGCCCGCAGTTTTTCGCCCTGCTCGTCGGGGGCCGCAGTGATGTCTCGGCGGCCTCCGACGCCACCGCCCGTCTCACATTGCTGCTGACGGGGATATTTGGGTTTTTGAAGGTGATCAGCTGCCTGCTGTTTATCGTGTTTGTCGCCGACCGCTTCGGCCGTCGGCCGCTGCTGATTCTGGGTGCATTGGCCATGTCCGTGTGCATGCTTGCCACGGCGGTTGTTCTGCGAGCCACCTCGATTGCGTCGTCGCCGTCGTCATCGTCGTCGTCATCATCAGCCGGTTCCAACCATGACCCTGACCCTGACCCTGATCCCACCCATGGATCGTCCTCGCTCTCGCCCGCCTCCCTCACGACCATCCTCCTGATCTACCTCAGCATCGTAGCCTACAACCTGTCCTGGGGACCCCTCCCCTGGCCGTGCAGCGCGGAGCTCTTCTCGTCGGCGCGGATCCGCGAACCCGGGGTGGCGATCGGGGTGGCGGCGCAGTGGCTGTCGAACTTCGGGTGGTCGTCCGCGACGCCGTACCTGCTGCAGGGGCTGGGGTGGGGGACGTTTGGGCTGTTCGGGGTGCTGGATGCGGGGTTCGCGGGGCTGGTGTATGGGTTTTTGCCCGAGACGAGGGGGATGCGGTTGGAGGAGATTGATTCTTTGTTTGCGGGTGCGGGTTATGCAGCCGGAGGCAGGGAGTGATGTAGAGCTTGTCTCAAGTGGTATTATATTTGCACAGTGCTCTCGGCCCTTCCTTCGTATTCTCTTACACTTTCCGGAGTTTGAAGCAGAAATAGACAAAGAGAGAAACCATAGGGCTAAGTAGGGATCAGAAAGTCAGCACAGAAGATTCATAACATCGAGGCTATCCTCTGCCATTCACACTACTCATTGATCGATACTGTTCTCGGAACTCCTCAACCACCACCCTAAGTATGATAACCACAAGCCACGAACCCCACCCAAATCATCCCAAAGCATCCCAAAGCACAGAAGAACAAAAACAAGCCCGACGGGGGCCAGAGCCCGAAAGTTAGAACGAAACCCCACCAGCCGAATCCAGTTCCAGTTCCAGCCCAGCCCAGCCCAGCCCACGCCAACGCCAACGCCAACGCCAACGACCCAAATCAAACCCTGCTACTGCTGCCGCTATACATCCATCCGGGAACATCCACTAAGTTATAGTTGGAATCCCAAATTATCGCCCTACAACAACAACGACGACAACAACAACAACAACAACAACAACTCCTCCATCCTGGCACTCTCATAACCGATAACGATAACTCTCAAGTAAGTAAATACTAAACAAATTAGTCAAGCAAAGCTAAGCGCTAAGCTAGGCTGCACTACACTAGGACTCAAGCACGGTACTATAGCCTAGCCTAGCCTAGCCTAGCTCTCTCAAGTCAAAGCCTCCAGTCTACACTATAGGTGAGGTGTAAAGCCATACTGGACTGTACTGACTGGACTATACTGTACATTGCGAAGTGAGAAGTTTACAGCCTCGATATGAGGGAACAATTCAAAAAGTCCGTCAAAAGTCCAAAGTCAGGGTTGGGATGGCTTAAGTTTTCCTTTGGAAACTTGGAACTTTTGCGCCAGTCCGGCGGGGGCAACTCAACGCAACGGCGGATCTGCGGTCGGCCGAAAGGGTGGGGTGTTGTGTCAGTGTCCACAGTAAGTTTAGTAAAGGTCATTCAAGGCTACTACTGTACAGTACACATAGTACACCAATTTACCTCTTGTTAATACAGTAAATATATACGATACTGTAGAACTTGGAAAGTTTCACTTGGGATAAAAGTAGTACTGTACTGTACCGTTTGGGCAAGAAAAAAACCCTTAAGTTGATTAGGTAGGTAGGTAGTAGGTAGGTACCAACACTTACTGGCTAATTGGCCAATTGCGTGTGTATGTGTGTATGTGTGTATATATGTGTATGTGTGTGTGTATGTGTGTGTGTATGAAGTCACTGTGGTGTCTGCTGAACGCCTCTAGATAACTGGAACTTGGAAGTTACGTACTATAAGTACTATATAGTTATATACCGCACACAGTAGATGCAGTACTAGGTAGTAGACAGATCCTTCTACCTACTAGATAGGCACTTCCACCCACCTCTCCAAAACCCAATAGCAACCCTGCTTACTTACTCCCAGCTAGAATCCCCGCCTTCGTCGGGGGGGTTGGGCTGAGATGTAGGGCCTTGGTTATCTTGAGCGGCCGAATATCGTTCATTCGCTTGCTTGATCAGCGAGTCTCGATACTCGGCAGTCAAGTCCCGCGCGTTTTGATAAGCAGTCACGCCCCGCTGATAGGTGTCGGGATCCCCGTGTAAGGCCCATTGCCCTATTTGGGTCATCACATAATCCGCCGTCGTCGTCGTCGTCGTCGACGTCGTAGTAGTAGAAGCGTCTTGGTGGCTGGGCTTGTGGTTGCTCCTAGACCTGGTAGGATGGGTCGCGTAAATGCCCAGAGTTCCACTACAATACGTACACATCAGAGTATAGGCTTGGTTGTCATATGTCGGTCTGCATTCACCAGTAGCCCCATTCCCATTCCCATTCCCAAAAAGCTGGAGTGCATGTAACGCTCGCGCGCCCAGAGCGCCGTCGTAACAAGCCTGCCGCATAGCGACAGGAGCGGACCCGTAATGACCTTTAGCCTCGACGAAAAAGTTCGGCGCCACGGGGCGGTTGCCTTGGGTGGTTGGTATGATCAGGTGACTCAGCTGCTGTCGAACAGCCGGCTCGAGCTGGTTGATCGTGCACCGTAGTAGAAATCGGGCTTCGCATGGGCCAACGTCCCGTCGGTCAACGGGGCCAGATTCATAAAGCGGTGTCCTCCGGCATTCCGGGAAGATGAAGAAGAAAGAGAGGAGGAGGAGGAAGAGGAAGAAGAGGACGAAGAGGAAGAAGAGGAAGCAGCAATTGGTTTGCCCTCAAGAATAGGCAGGGTATCCTTGATCACTAGCTGTTCATCAATGGCTCTGCTGTTGATTCGAGTGAATTCCTTGTATTCCTTCTTCAACAAGTCCGGTGATAATACACGCGATGGTCGTGGAGCCTGTAGTCTCCTTTGTATTTCGACCAGATTCTGTAGTTCGTCGGGCTCCGTCCCATCGGGATACGTAGATAATGGGAGAAGAACACCATGGTCAAGTAGATGTTCCTCAAGATTCCGATCATAGACAGTGGCTTTTCCAGTCATTGGCGCTGGGTTGGAGTTGGTAGGATCTATAGAGGATTGAGAGAAGTGGGCTGGTGCAGGATACTACTATTTGCAAGGCTTTTGAGTTACATTTCTGCTCTGTCGATCGGTATCAAAGGAAAGGAATAAGAGGGGTGAATCAACTGACATTCCTAATATCGGCTAGATCTTGTCCTCCACAGCGGGAAGATCTTCTGATCTCTTGTAAAGAAGTCGCAGAGCAGTCACGTAAGAAATCAGAGGCAAAGGTGTAAGAGTTGGGAAAGCAGGTCTGACTTGGACAGAGCGGTTGATTTTGTCGGTGAGCTTCTTTTAAAGCGCTTTTAGTCAACCACAGCTTGGGGAGATTGTTCCAAAATAGTGGAGGAGGATGATAAGTAGAGCGGTTACGGTTCCGTTTCCGATGCTGCTGCTGCTTAGAGACCGGCATATGGGGTTATGTTTAGATGGAGTGACTAACAGAGAGGTTGTAAAGAACGCAGAGGAAAGATAAGTGTTTGTTTGAAAGGCTTATAAGTTGCCTGTGCTAGTGACATATATATATGCTTGTAAGCCATCCGGAACTGGAAAATGTTTCATTGCGGCCAATATAGATTCTTTGTTTGACTGTTCTTTATTTGAACTCGGTAGAAATAAAGATAGCCCTGTGAGATATCCCGGATCACGTGATAACCACCTTCCTCTCATTCACTAGCTAAGCACATCTTAACCCAACACCCATTTATTTGTTGTCACAAGAACATTCGCCTGGAGGTAAAATGACTGATTCAATAGAGCCACCGTCACCGATCCCGAATGGTCTGATCGAGTGTTCGGGCGTCGTGAACGGGGAGGACGTTGAGGTGGTTCTGCAGGCCAGGCGGACCCTCTTCGGTAGATATAAGCCAGAGTTGTGCTTTACTAGCTCTGATGGATAGCTGTCGTGTTGAGGGAAACCTATCGCACGGTACTTAGATATCCTCTCATCCGTTTACAAAGAAAAAAAGAAAAAAAAAAAAGGCACTCTAAAAAGCCAATCCATCAATATGGTACCTGACCTTACAGTGTCTTCAAATTCCAGAAGGAAAAAAAACCCCGTCTCGAAGATCGGTTCCATCCATTATGCGATCTACGTAGTTAGGGCAAACTCTCCCCGAGCTACCTGCCTGCTAAGTTATCAATCAGGAGTAAACACCCCTGATTTCGTGATTCGGAACACCAACGGAGCACTACAAGAATAAAGAAGAGTGCAAGAGCAAGTGAAATAGAGTTTACAGAGTCTATCTAAACTATCATCAACTTCTTCACCCGCCATACAGGATACATAGCGTATATACTCCATAGTATTCACCGCTTACCATACCCACCTTTCACAACTGGTATCCCAAGGGGCCTAAGATTACTCCCCCGGCCTCCCCTCACCCTTTCGCTGAATGTCGTTTGGAGATTGAAACAACAGCATACCTCATACTACTCTGTAGGATACGATCCCGGCACAAAGCACTTATATACAGTACCCAAAGTGGTTGGTGTGGGTGTGGGTGGGGCCACCCCGAGGGCACTGGGCAGTACTACACATAAAAGAAAGAAAGCAACACTTCAGTTCGTTGAGATATAATCTACCCACTGGCACTGCAGCAAGTCCACCCAGCTATAAGTCAACTAGCGCCCCCGTCCTTGGAAGGAGGAACCCCTGCCCGGCTAAATGCGTCCCGTCCGGTCCAAACCTGATTTCCCAAATCCGGTGGGGTGGGGTCTAAAATGGCGCTTAATCTGGGTTCTATACTAATTAACATCCTAACTATAACTGAACAGTAGAAGATTGTAGGATAAGTAACTTGCACAGTCCATGAAATATAGAAAAGGCCAGACTGGATTCGACTCGAGTACTCCGTCCAGAGGACTAAGTTTATCGGAACTGGACTGTATGTTACTACTGCCATAGTGCCGTGCACCAAGCTACCTGGGCACACAGTCCATACTTGCTGAATGTACCCTAAATGGCGAACTTAAGTGCGCCCAAGATAAAGAGATCCGGACTAGGAAAGGAACTTTGGAACCTTGAAGTGACCGACCCTGGCAGACTCGACTAGAACCGTACGGAGTACCTACAAAGTATTCAGAATAAGTGGTATTCAAAAATAAAATCTTCATAAAACTTCAATCTTAGAGTACTGTGTACAGTACAGTAATATCTAGGTCATCCCAAACCCAAAACAAAATCAAATCAACACTGGACGAGCGATCGATCAATCCCAGAACAGACCCGTCACCGTCACCGTCACCACCGCTGGAAAGCCAAATGACGTCGGCGGGAATAACCGCTCCTTCGATCTACCCCTGGTCTCCATCTGCATTTCCCTTTCTCCTTCGCCATCAGCGGTCTGGGGTGGTCGATTTCGAGCCACTGCACCACCAACCTTGAAAGAACCCTGTTTTCTGGGATTTTCCGGGTCGGGGCTCCACAGTTCACACTGGGATTCTGATGCCAGAGAATAATACATGGCCCCCGCCCTCATAAAAAGAAAAAGAAAAAACGCAAAAACATACAAAAAAAAACAAAGACAAAGACAGCCAGACTCTTGGAAAAATATGCAGGTGGCAACTAATTAATTTGCTTCTAGTACTACAGTAAGTAATTGCTTTTCTGGAAGCTTATCCGGGTCAAATTCCGCATGATCGGTGGTTCTCCAAGGGTAAACTTTCTACATATGTAAGTGGTACGTACTCATGTACCTGTACGAATACTCATAGAATGTGGACTAGATTCTAGCTAAATGTCGATGGAGTTCTACTCGGGTCTCTGACCATGACTCGACGATCAGTAGACTTAGACTAACCTTATCGTATACTTCGGCCGTAAAGAAATGCACCTCCAAGATATCACCAAGTCCGTTGAATAGACTCTAATAAGATTGATAGCAATCTTGCTAGCACGATCATCCTCATCCCGTACATCCATGATGATCAAGTCCCAACTAGCAATAGCAATACTCCTCAGCCAACACAAAACAACTCCACCACCCCTGGCAGTGACTTTTCCCGTATGCTTGTGTCTGCCTTTTCCCGTAGAACGCCGTACCCCCAAACCCGCTTGAAGAATAGTCAAAAGCACCTGGCCCATAAAAAAGCAAAGCAAATCGCTAAAAGAAAAGCAACAACCCTCAAATCAGTGAGCCTCCCACTGCCACCAATTTCAAAGGTCTCCCATACACAAAAAAAGAAAAAAAAAAAAGAAAAAACACATACGCATCCTCCCGCCTTGCAAATGTGATGTACGAGTCATAAACTCCCGCTGGCTTTTCAATGAAGCAATAAATCAAATAAGTCGATCAGAAGGCCTTCCGCTATGCAGTAGAGCCGGGGTGAACTGTAGCCGGCAACATATATGATCCCATGTCATGATTCAGTCCATCAAAGCTAGATCCTCGAGGAACTCGTATCCAGGCATCGAGTCCAATGAGCCATCCATGGCCGTCTTGATGCCGCTGTTTGTGTCGTTGCTGCTGCCAACGGGGCCGCTGGTGAATGGCATGATATTCAGAGGTGGGCTATCAAAGCCGAAGGCAGCAGCAGCGGCGGCGGCATCAGGAGAGAGGCCGGAGGAACCCGACGAACTAACCGACCTGGAGGTGGAGAGACCAGGAGGGGAGTTGGTCAGGGAAGAAACAGATACCCTGGTCCCAGTAGTCGCGGCAGCATGATCGCCCATCATCAGCAGATCGGAAATCTCGGCGGACCGACGGTCTGCAGCCGCGTGGTCCCTGGCGGTGATGTTCTGGACCATTTGACTGAGATGGAGGGCGATGGCCGGGTCCCCACACTCGCTATGCCTCAGCAACTCGTTCTTCATGGCAATCACCTCGGCACGAAGCTCCTCGACCTCTGTGCTGAGCTCGGAGTTCTTGGTTTGCAGTTCGAGAAACTGGCGCTCCAGCTGCTCGTTGAGCTTCTTCTTCTTCTGCCGACATTTACTGGCGGCAATGCGGTTCCGCTCTAGGAAGCGATCCCGTTTGGCCTGTTCCTCATCGTGGGGAGGGCTGGGAAGCTGCTGGGACAGCCGTTGTGTCTGCTGTTGTGGCTGCTGCTGTTGCTGAAGTTGTGGCTGGTATTGCTGCATTGGGTATTCGGTGTCAATCTCCGGGAGCTTTCGCTTGTTTCGCCTGTTTTCATCGTAGGGAGGCGGGGTGGGTTGTCCGTTTCGCAGGTGGGAGTTCCGGGAGTACCGGCCGAAGTTGGGATTCATTGTGATCCGGAGTGTCGAGTAGAGTGTAGAGAGTGTGAGTGGAGGGCGGGGTGGGTGGATGGGTAGTGAGTGAATAAGTGAACGAGTGAGTGAGGGAGTGGGGGTCCGAGAGAAGCGAGAGTGATGGCAGTGAGAGAGGATATGAATAGGAGATAATCGTATAGTAGTAGTGTGGTAATAGTAGCAGTTGTTGCAGTCGGGGGAGTAGGCACACAGTTGAGTGGGAGGGGGAAGAAAGCAGAAGAGAAGGAATAAAAGTGAAGTGAAGTTGAGAAGAAAGGAAGTACAACAGAAGAAAGAGGGGAGGAAGAGGGGGGGGGGAGAGGGGGGAAGAAAAAGAGTCAAAAGACTGGAACAGTATCAAGACCTGTGATACCTACCAAGCCCAAACACACCCGCAATAGAGCAGAGCAGAGCAAGCAGACAAGACAACAGACAGGAGAGACAGAGAGACAGTTCGAGACAGGCAGATAGACAGACTGCAGACAAGCAGTCAGTAGTCTGGAAACACGGATGTCGATCCCTCCTGTTTGAGGCAATCTTAGAGGGAGGGAGCCCTGGAATGTGTCAAGAAACGGAGGGACAGAGGGAGGGAGGGAAAGCAACTGCAATGGCCCGTGGATATGCAGCGAACCTTGCTGGAAGGGAAGAAGGGAAGAGGGGAGGAGCACAAGGCTAGAATCTGGACTGGACTGGACCGAAAGGCACCACCAAAGCCAAGAAGGAACCCTGGGAACTGACATCACATGTGCTTTTGCTGGAGCATGAGCATGACTACGTATGGGTAACTATACTACTGTACCTAGTATGTAGTACCGTAGCTATCTGAATGCGGCAGGTGGAGGTCCTGAAGAACCAGGCCATCCATTCGATTCCACACCACCACGTCATTGCAATCAAGAGTGATTCCCATGACTGCCTGAGGTTTTCCACGGATTTCTCTGCCCGTTGATTGGCGGTTGGGGCTACCCGGAGCCATCTTCCTGCCAACCAATCCGGGCCCACTTGGCTGAGCGGACCTCATTCCGCCAATGACACTCGTCTGCCGTCGCTCCCTCGTCGCTGCTTGCCAAACCATGGTAAAGCTGGCTGTTAAAGCTGGTAAAGCTGGCTGAGACAGCAGAAACGAATAGATTCATGTTGGTACTGTCCTCAATGCTGAATCATCCATTCATTCATTCACCTGTTCAAAGAATCAATCAATGAATGGATCAATCAATGAATCCAACCAAAAACACCAACACCAATTCCACCATCGTCATCGTCATCCACATCGAAAAGATAAAGCAAGCAAAGCAAGCAAAGCAAGCAAGAAAACTCAACCGATGATCAGCTTTCCCGCCCTCCGATCAGCCCGCCAAATCAACAGGTTCTACAAGGACCAGGATCAAAAGATCCCTCCCTTCCCCCGCATCGGCTCTACCATCCGACGACTCACCAGGCCTTGATCGACCCGTGTGAACGTACAAGTCAAAAAGTCCTCGAAAGTAAATTTGATAGAGTCGAATGGAAGCTGAAGCAAGTTCTCCTAAAATCCAGGCCCCCGTTCTAGTCGTTCAGTTTGTTTCTAGTCCCTACTCTCTGCCCTCTTCTACTCTTGTCTCTCACATGTTCCCCACGCGGCCCGCTTCCCTTGAGCAAGCAATCAATGCCCCCCTCCCCTCCTCCGCCTCCTCCCTCTCCTCTCTGCTCTCCTCTCCCTGTACATCGCCCAAGACCGGAAAACCTGGTTTTGCTTCGCAAAGACCACTCAACAAAACTCAGACACTCGCTCTCATTCGCAATCACTCTCTCCCGCCCATGGCCGACCGGATGTTCTGGCATTCGGTTCAATAAGCGTAGACCTGAGAAGAAAGGAACAGGGAAAAACTTTGGTAGTCCGTCCTTCCGCTGGATCTACTGGCCGAACGAACCCGTTGATACCTTCTCCCTTCCCCCCCAGCAACCAATATACAGCCGGAAGGTCAATTCAATGGGCTAACCGTGGTTTGTCCGATTGCTGGCCAGCGGAGCTTACCAATATAGTTTCCTGCCCGCTCTCAAACCCGCTCACTCAAGGTCTCCACTACGGACGACACTACAATTCAGCGACTGGGCCACCCTGTCAATATCAATCACATACTATACAGTTTCTGGCAATAAGAAAAATAAAATAAGAAAAGGCGAGATACAGCGGCTGCCCAAAGTACTGACGCTATGGGTACCTTTGCTCACATCCCCATTCCACTAGCGTCGCCCATCCTCCCCCCTGATGCGGATCCCTGATGACTTCATACCAAACCTTCTATCGCCCTGACTTTTCTTTCTACAAGTATCGTCCGACCAGCAAACATTCTGCCCCCGGAGATATCCCCCGATCCTCAGAATCGCCTCAGCAACACACTTCCCTGGAGGAGACTATTGCACGTCCCATTTGCACGGATCGCCGCCGCCGCCGCCGCCGCCTCGGCAGGTTGCGATGTTCCCAGATGCGCAGCTGACGACTGATCCCTCGCCAGTGCTCCACGAGCATCATCACCACTCGTTCGCTCTCAATCTCCTGGGCGATAGCTCCAAACGTGTCGCCAGACCCCTCTCTCCCCGTGAGCAACGGCCCGAGCACGCGACCCAGCCGGTCCAGCGTCAGCGGTCCCGGCCCCCCACTCCCATTCTCATTGTTGACAGAGCGCGGAGCCTCCTCCTGCGCTAGGCGCTGCGTTTCATGCAGGAGTAGGGCGCTGAGGCCAATCACCCCACAGATGAGGTGCAGCTGCATGGTGTTCGTCAGGGCCAGCAGTGCCAGCCCAATGGCCTTGACCTTGACGTAATCTTGCGGCGAAACCCCTCCAAGACAGCTGCGACGCCGTTCCACATCGTCATCCACCAGGGGTGCTTGGCTGATGCCCACGAGCACTCGATATAGTGCCGGTAATCCCAGGAGCCCGCCGGGAAGCCCCGCCAGTAGTGCCAGGAATGCCCGTGCCATGCTTTGCACCATTGTGTCGTCCATCGTACGAGCGCTAGGCTCGATCACCGCTAGGGGTAGGTCACTACGGCCAACCGTCATCTGGATTCGATCGGGCTCTCGAAGGGCGGCGAGCACCGACCGGGCGAAATGGTCGTAAATTCGCATTGCCATTTTCGGATGGCCGGGATCGACAAACACGTCGCGCACCGGGGCAGCTGGAGCAATGACGTAGATGAGCGAGACCATTCCATCTCATGCACCTCGCGCATCCCCGGTGGGGAATAGATGGGGCCAGGACCTACCAAATCGACCCAAAACGGTAATTGTAGCTACAAAACATACCGGGAGGCGGAGTTTCATAGGCGCAAATTCGGCCGGCAGCGTGAGTATATTATAGCCCCCGAGACGCGCCAATTCCTCCAGTGACATCCCCGTCAGTGAAGTCATCTCGTTCACCCGAGTGCCCACATGCGCCAACGTCTTCATCCGGCGTAAAGTCCGCGTGGTGCGGGGTCCCTCCGACGAAAGGCCCAGTTGCAGGGTCGACCGCATCGTACGTAGTCGGCCATAGAGTCGGTCGCGCCGTCCAGTAGTCATCTTCTCCCCAGCGGTGGTGGGGGGAAGCTGCCCTGGCACCCAGTCAGCTGGATAACCCAAGCATCGATCCCGTTGGAATTGTCCGCGCGAACCCGATAACTGGGAATGTGATCCATCGCCGGATTCTGCCCCCTTGCTGTTGTTCATCGGCAGAGGCGGGAGACGGAGCTTCTGGACCAGTTCGTTGAATTCCAACACGGCGGCGCGCCGTTCGATCTCTGCAATCACAGAACTATCATCCGAGGTGGAGACATAGAAACTGTCCCGTGAGGAACTTCCCGACTCGACTGAACTACCTCCGGCAAACGGGTTGGCTAGTCGCTGGAAACTCTCGGTATCGTCGTAGGTCGACGAGACTCCCGTCTGGCTCGATTCGGAGCTAGACTGTCTTGTGGACCGAGTCGGATTCCTTGCGTGGTTCCGGCTGCTTTCTGAGTCGTCCACCAGATTCTTGGGATCTGTGAATGGGTTCTGACAGAGGGATGGGTCTGCAAGGGCGATGGGCATGGAAAGACGCTTGGAGGGATCGTGGCACACCGTCGCGCTGGTTTGGTCCGAATGGAGAGAGTACATCGTGTTGTCACTCACCTTGCGGGCCTCGCCAGTCTCATCTGCTTGGCCGCTGCATTGCGGGTTTGATGGAGATTCCGCACAATAACTCTCCACAATGCTTCGACTTAGTATGCACCCGCTGGCTAGATTCCTGGCGTTCTCCGGGCTGGTCGGAAGCTCGAGTAATGGATTCAGCGATAGATCCGGTGGCCGCGACTTGCGAAAGCGAAAGAGACCTTTGAGATTGGTAAGTCGTCGCGAACTTCGCGAACTTCGCAAGGGTTGCTGTTGCTTGAGTAACTCAGCCGGTGCGACTGGACTCTGCTGCTGGCGGAAGAGCGGCTGCGCCTGGTCCACAGTGCTATCGTCTGTGGTAGTAGTCGCAGTCCCAGAGGATAGCTGGGTTCGACTCACAGCGAATGTGCGTTTGACAGGCTCACTCCGACGACCTCGGTTGGCTGAAGTATCTTCCAAAGTGCCCATTGCTGTATGAAGTAATTGTAAAGCTATAGCTGGGGATCTCATAAGGGCCACTGAGCCGGGTCTGCGGAGTACACCATACCTACTATGTAGTAGGCACAGTGCAGGTTGAAGTCGGATGCGAGGGCCTCCCAGCACACTTCCAAGTAGACCACCGCTCCTTCCTTTGAAGCATGGTAGCTACTCAGTTGACGTAGCAGGAGAGGTTGTGATAGCAAAGGAAAGAGCGGCCATGTCCTGCGGTCAACTTCCAACGCAAAGCCACTGGATCACTACAGTTGAACAAGTACAAAGATACAACATACAGGTCAATGGAAACATCGGATCAGAATAGATCATGAGAGTGTGAGAGAGTCATACAAGCAATGAAATCTATTGTTGTCAAAGCCTAGCGCCAATGCTAGGTTCCTGGCCCCCTTGCCGCTCGCGGTAGGAGACCGATCGAAGAACAAGTGTAGACCCCATATGATACCATGTAGGTTTACTTTTGCATCGTGAGTTTGAAAGAGACGGAATGAAGAAAGATAAAAGAAAAACATGAGTTGGTAACAAATAAAGCTACCAAACTGTCAAACCTCGTAGGAGGCTCGGACACCGACACTAAGCCCAAACGAGAAACGCCATCCTATGCAATTGTGAGTGTATTGGCAGCACTGTGGCACCAGTGGAAAGGGTAAATCAGGAAGTTAAACATCAATTCATGATAGCTCATCAGTTTCGCCCTCAAGGAGGATATACTGCAGGATGTCGCTCAGGGTCAGGACGCCCTTGAGCCGGAAGTTCTCATCCACCACAACCAGGCGGTGGACGCGAGACTTGCGAATCGTGTCGAAGATGGTGTCCAGACCATCGTTCAGGGAGCATGTGTAGATGCCCGGGAAATCCTAAACGCCGGTTAACCGACCCATTCCGCAAGCCGAGTATGAGGTATACTTACTGGAGACCGCTTTTTCAACGCCTCTCCGACTGTTAGGCTGAGATCATCATACACCCCGCCTTTGATCAAGGTGATCACATCAACTGCTTCGAAGACGTTGTAGACCACTCCTAGAAGGCGCCAAAATAGTTAGCCACGAGATCCAGGCATTGAAGGTCCTTATCTGGACAGAGAGGCCGTCCTACCCTCAGAATTCACAATCGGCACACTGGATATGCTCCGCTCGACCAGAATATGAATGACATCAATGACAGGGGTGTCCATGGATGCCGTTGCGACATTCTGGTATGAACCCAGCAGGATCTCACCAAGCGGCTTGCGCAACTTCTGGGTGTCTGGGACATTGACCGCAACGAACTTGAGAATGCGATACTGAGTAACGACGCTAAGAACGAGAGAGCGGTCGGTTTGACTGTCATATGTGACGAGGGGGATACGGCGAGCGCGCGACTCCAGCATGCGCCGACAGGCCTCATACAGGGGACGTTCAGGGTCGATCGATATCGTCTCGGGAGGAGCGACGCCCAACGCCTTTTCCACCTCTGTCTAGAGTGTCAGCCCTGCGGGGTTTTGTGAACGATTGTTGAGCTGCGCACCTCGGAGGCTGTCGAGCCGGAATTGGTCGATCTGGTTCAGCGCAGCCGGGTTCTGGAAGTAGTATTGGATGACGTTGATGTAGTCGGAGGTGGTCAAAAGACCGGCAAAAGTCGAGGCCTTGGAGTCCCACAACGGAGCCGAGACGATACCTGTTATCCCAGAGCACCACGTCCTTCCGGTCAGCAAATGGTCCTTCCAGCATTGTGACCTCGCCCGGATTATGGCGCAGTCGCAGACGGAGTCATCCCGCCTGGAGACGGACAAGGGAAACACCTGCCATTTTGGATGAGGATGTTCAAGCTCTCCTTGACGGACAACGAAGTGTCGAAAATTATGAGTCGGAAACTAAGGGGGAGCACATCGTAACTAGTACGGACTTTGAGGAAATTGCGGATGGCACGCTACAATGAAGAAGACAGATCCACGACTCTATTAGCCACTGCATCCAAGCAATTGAGGAACCATGGAAGTGCAGATTACGAAACGGAGATCAGGTAGAAGACTGCTGTCTGGCTGCCAACAAATTCACGGGCGAATTGGCCCAGAAAAAGATGGGGGGGTGTAGATTTGGGTATGCGAATGAGGGGTTGAGGCACCAAGGCTCGGACGGGTAGAGGAATATGATTCATGCAGCAGCAAATCCGGGGGGGGGGAGAGAGAGAAAAGGCGACTCACTAGGCCCTGACGCTCTTCCCGATCGATGGCCCTCTCGGGCTGAGCTGGGGGCATTGGTTGTGACAGACCTCGCGGCCGGAGAAAGGAGGCGGGATGCACGAAACCTCCCTCGTGGGCACGGACTGGCCGACGGTCTAGGGTGGAGGAGGGGTGGGAGGAGGATGGGAGGTAGGGCTGCGACCGGGATCGAGTTCGAGGGCGGAAGGCAGTGTTGGTGGTGGTGGAGAGAGGAAATAGAGCTGTAGCAGTAGGAGATGCGAAAGCAATAGCCGTAGCAGTCGCCGTTGTGGCCGAGGAGAAGAGCGGGTGGTCGTTGGTGGAGGTGGTCGTTGGCGTAGTTGTTGAAGCAGCAGTAGTGGAGGGCGGCAGGCCGGAAGTAGAGCTGGTTCTGCCCGTGGGGACTGGCCGCCGCCGCTGGGGAAAGTCCTCCGTCATGATTGATCGATGCGTTCAACCACCGCTTCCAGTTGCAGCTCCGGTGTGGAGAGTCGGACTGGCGTGGGAGAATCCGAGCGAGAAAGAACAGGAAACAAAAAAAAAAAAAAAAAAAAAAAAAAAAAAAAAAACGGTGCCTGTGCAACGATAACAACAAAAACCACAACAACTACTACAACCGACTCTAAGGATTCAGGGCTAACGTCCCTTGCTTGCACCAATATAGTACGTTCACTGTTGCGTGACAAACAATCTTCCCGGTTCGCAAGCAAGCGTGCAAGGTGGAGAAGAAGTAAGAATAAAGGGAGGAAGCCGAGGGAGGAAGCCGAGGGAGGAAGCCGAGGGAGAAGGATTGATAATAAATCTACCCCAGTTTTTGGAGAGATCACTTGATAAATCCTCCCAGCTGGAATGATGCCTCTACCGACACAAAGTACCGTACCTGTTGACCGATCCATCCTACCTCTCAGACCCCTCGGGACATCACCTGTACGTACAGTACATTGGTGGTAGACTATTTAAACCAGGCTGAGTAGCAGGACTGACGGAGGAAGAAAGTTCTTCGCTATGGCAACAGTTGAAGAAGGTGCCTTATCTTTCTGTTCTATAGAAGAACGCTGGGGTCCGTGACTCCATAACCGAACCCCTCCCCGCTATCACCGAAGATGCTTCATTTCCTATCATATTGATGCCTAAGGCAATTGAGTGCCCCACTATTACTCACGTGATTTATGGTATATGTTGGGGCAATGGATATGATCTCAGGATCACCCATGGTAACCATGTGACCTTTTAATTATACTTTGTAAGTCTATTGCGACAAATGACGATGGACTTTTCCCCGGCACCCACAGAGGTTCGGGGTTCAAATCGCGCGAAATTCAGGTATAATGCGGAAAAGACAATATCTATTTACGGGGATTGGCGCGCTCAGGGAGTCTGTAACATGCTCGGAGAGAGACCTTCCAAGCTAGCAACAGCATGTACGCCTTGAATAGAGTTGGTGATGCCCTAAGCGGTGGGTTGCGTCTCAGCCGCCACCCCATTGGGCGTTCCTTCGGACTGCGCCAGGCTGGGGCTGGTGCCGGTCTTCAGATAGTTTTCGAACTCTCCGATGCGCTTACCACCCTGGATCCACCGTTCCTGGTAGGCGGCTCGGCGCTGGTCCGCTAGCTGGTTTAGAGTGGGCCAGTAGGTGGCATGGTCGTAGCGAAACTCGACGTCTCCGCCCATCGACTTCATCAACTGCTCCGGCGGCACATGCTGGCGCAGGTCTTCGTTGAACTTGAGCTTCTGCCGGGTCTGGGGGTCGATGAACGGGGTGATGATCTTGAAGAATCCGTTGATGAGGAACGGCACTGGATGATCCAAGTGGTCAGCTTGAGTCCGTGAATCAGCCCAATCACACGACAATATTACTTACTATTGATGACGAGCGCCCGACCCATGCGCTCCGGGTAGTGGTTCTGCAAAAAGTTGAGAGTCTGCTTGGCCTGTCCGATGCTGGCATTCTGGCCGGACTTGGTCTCCTTGAAGTTGACGAGGAGCGCCAAAGTCTCTTGGTCGGGGCCCATGAGGTCGATCACGCGCTCCAGCATGAAGACCAGATGCTCGATCTGGCGATCACTCGTCTCCGTGTTCTGCTTCGATGGGATGAGGTAGAGGCAGGGACGTCCTTCAATGTCATAACCCAGAATGACCTGTTTGCCGGTCTCATTTTCGATGGAAATGTAATCGGCCGTCAACTTCTCGACCCCGTATTCCCGGCGCCAGGTAAGAGTGCGCTGCAGGCGGGTGGTTGCCTCGGACACATTCCACTTGCTTGCTCGCAGGTAGCGCAGGATACACTCGCGAGTGAGGAACATGCGCTCGCTGTCGGTCAGAGGGGCCGTAGGGGCATTCTTGACTGATGTCGTGGGAAGGACAGTCCATTCGGAAACCGTCTTGAAGACTTCATTGTACTTGGCTTGCTGGTCGGGCTGGAGTTGAGCTGGCGGGGTAGGTTTTGCGGTCTCCAGGGGGCGGGCGAAGGGCTTCTGGATGAGACCGTCGGCGGCCGACATAGGCAACTCCAGCTCGATGTTCTTCTCGGGGGTGGATTCGGTAGTTCCAGCGGTCGTCTCAGGGGCAGGATTGGATTCGGCTGTCTGCGATTGAGGTGGCTCGTTGACAGCGGGAACCGCAGCAGCAGGCGCAGCTTGGGTTTCTGGGGCGGCGCTCATAGTGCGGGAAAGGGGGATGCGGTTTGTTTATGGAAGATGAATTGGTGGATTGGCGAGGTATTATTATCTAGAATCCTGGTGTAGAGATGGTTGCAGACTCCGAGACGAGCAGAAAAGGGGAAAGGTCAGACAACGAACGAGAGAAGCTGATGGACCATCTGGCCAACTGCCGGGATAGTACTTACTCGAGCAATACTACTAATCTCTCGATCGACAGGCCCACCGGCAGATCGTCCTCCTGCAAATAATCTCCTACTCCTCACACCGCCGGAGGTGCTGCTGTCTGGCTGGATGCAGTAGGCGGTCAGTTTCCACTTCCGCTCCGCGTCGTTCACGCGCGTCCTCCGCGTCACCCTCCGTTAATTGATTAATGAATAGATAGAGATATCACCAACATACCAAGATCCTCGCGACTGTAACCCACTGGTGTCCACATCTCCTCGAAATAATGGCAGACACCACCGAAGAGCTCAACGAGCTCTTCGCCGCTGCTGCCCCCAATGGACTTCCCAAGGACGTTCTGGCGGAGCTGCAGTCGCTGTTGCGCATCCACGCTATCTCCGCGCAGGAGCTTTTCTACAAATGGGAGTCCTACTGTCTCAAGATGGGGCCGGATGAGCTGAAGCTGGATCTGGAGACCGTGCGATTATTCAAGAAAGATGTTCAAGATACACTGGAGCGCGAATCGCGGGGCAGAGCTGGGCGCCAAACAGACAGACGAACAGCAGTCACCGCGACCCCGCGAGCGGCCACCACCTCGGATGTCTTTGGAATGTAGGTCAGCAACTGTGAGCCCGCTCGGCCATGATACTGACAGGTTGCGCTTCTAGGTTAGATGGACTCACCCCGAACGGATCCCAAGGCCGGACACCGGCGAAGCGCAAGTCGGACTTCGCGTCGCCGTCGATGAACAAGATCGGACGGACGAACCAGAACGGTTCTCCCATGAGCACACACACCGGAGTCAAGACGACGAATGGCGACGCACTCCCGTATGTAGCGCGCATAAGACAGTGACCAAACCGATTGCTGATGTGGGGTGAAAATGCACAACAGGTCCATCTCATTCAGCGAGCGGCAGAACGCAGGCGAGACGCTCGAAACGATCAACCCCCACCTCTCCCTCCCCGAAACACCCATCGCCCCGTACGCCGAAGCGCGGATCAAGCCGACGGCGAACACAGACCTCAAAAAGTTCGGCTACAAGCCCATGGCGATGCGCCTGTCGGAGGCCTCGGAGATCCTCGACGACCGCATCGACGAGTTCACCGCACTGTTCCAGAAACAGTACGAGTCCGACGAGATCACATTCGGCAGCGCGGCGACGCAAAGTACCAGCGAGATCGTGGCCGTGGGCCGCATCGCATCCGACAGCATGGAGGGCAAGCTGAACCCGGCGTCGCTCGTGCTCGAGACGTCGCGACGGACGGGCGCCGGCGTGCGCGTGCCCCTGAAGCTCGACGGCGTCCCGTCGGCCAACTTCTTCCCGGGCCAGATGGTGGCGCTGCGCGGGATCAACGCCTCCGGCAACTACTTCTCCGTGAAAGAGGTGCTGCCCACGCCGCTGCTGCCGCCCGCGGCCTCGTCCGTTGTCAACATCGAAAGCATCAACGAGCGACTCGAAGCGGCCGGCTCCTCTCCCCTCAACATCCTCCTCGCCTCGGGACCGTACACCGCCGACGACAACCTCGCCTTCGAGCCACTGAAGGAGATCTGCCGCAAGGCCGCAGAGAGCTACGCTGACGGAGTCATCCTGATGGGACCGTTCCTCGACGTGGAACACCCACTGCTGGCGTCAGGGGATTTCGACCTCCCCGAGATCCCGGGCTTGGACCCTGACACGGCAACGCTGACGACCGTGTTCCGCCACTGCATCGCCGCGCCGCTGCAACGGCTCGCGCAGGCGGTGCCCAGCATCACGATCGTGCTGGTGCCGTCGGTGCGCGACGCGGTGAGCAAGCACGTCTCGTGGCCGCAGGAGCAGCTGCCCAAGAAGGAACTGGGGCTGCCCAAGCAGGCGCGCATGGTGTCGAACCCGGTGACGCTGTCGTTGAACGAGACGGTGATCGGGCTGTGCTCGCACGACGTGCTGTACGAGCTGCGGCGCGAGGAGGTGCTGCACGGCAAGCCCAAGGAGGGGAACCTGCTGAGCCGGCTGCCGAAGTATCTGATCGAGCAGCGACACTTCCACCCGATGTTCCCGCCGACAGCGCGCGAGATGCTGCCGCGGCCGGGGACGGAGACCGGGCTGGCGACGGGGGCGATGCTGGACGTGAGCTACTCGAAGCTGGGGGAGTGGTGGAATGTGCGGCCGGACGTGCTGATTGTGCCGAGCATGCTGCCTCCGTTTGTCAAGGTGCCAACCCCAACCCCTTCGATTGATGGATCAGCTGACTGACTATGTGATAGGTGGTGGAGAGTGTAACAGTGATCAACCCGGGGATGCTGTCGAAGCGCCGGGCGGCCGGGACATATGCACAGCTGGCGATCCACCCACGGACGATCAGCGAGGAGGAGCGAGACCAGAAGCAAGTCAGCCATAAGCTGTACGAACGGACACGGGTGGACATCAACCGGATTTGAGACCGTATGCGATCGATGGATAATGATGACTGGCAGGGGATATAGATATAATGACAACCACCCATGATCAGCCATACTCCTGATACATAACGATGCAGTAACGATACCACCGAACCTCCCATTGACTCCCAACTCCGCACCCATAACTCCACTCCCAACCCAAGTAAACCGCTCAAGACCCAAACTCCATTCCTAACGCAGTGAAAGCACCCCCTCAATTGTAGAACCCTTGACCTGAACACCTCAACCCAACCAGAGTGATAATGTAACGTTCTGGGGGAGAACCCCCAGACCCCCCTTTCTTTCAGCCTCCCAGTGACCTCCATCTCAACCTCAACATCAACCCCAACCCAAATCAAAGTAACAACATAACCATCTGGGGGAGAACCCCCAGACCCCCTTCTTTCAACTCCCAGCAACCTCAACCTCAACTCAACCTCAAGGAAAGGATAGGATAGATAGGAATCACCGCAGACAAACAACCCTCCTCCGTGCCCCCATCCTCCTCCCCTCCTCCCTAACTCTCACCCTCACTCCCCCAGCACCCCCAGAAACTCCCCCCGAACCCCCCAAACCCGCAGGATACTGCCCCGACCCCGAAACCAACCCCTCGAGCCCCAAATCCCTCCACCCCGCCCCATTCCCATTTCCCCCACCAAGTCCGCCTACCCCCCCAGCCCCCCGAGCCCCCCCAATCATAGCCCGACTGATTCCAAACGCCGCATGCTGATCGGGCACAACATCGTCCTCGTCCTCCGGATTCGGCGGCTGGAACTGCGGCGCCACGTAGATCTCCTCCACCGGGAGATACGAGGGGCTCGTGCCGGGCGGGACATTGGCGTTGTTGGCGGCGGCGGCAGCAGCAGCAGCAGCCGCCGCGGCGAGGGAGTACGTGCTTGAGGCGAGGTTGGTGGTGGAGGAGGACGACGCGAGGAGGAGGGCGCTGGAGGAGGCTGCGGCGCCGGCGGAGGCGGTGTGCGTGTGCGGGCGCGTGAAGTCTTCGAAGTAGTCGGCGAGGCGCGGGTGGTGCATGTGGATTTGGTGCGGGGTGGAGTCTTTGCTCTTTTGGGGACAGGAGTTAGTTAGTGTTTTGGGTGGTGGGGGGGGATGATGAAGGGAGGCGAGGGGGGTACCATTTTTGGTTCTTGGGGTGGGTTCTGTTCTGGATTTGAGGTGAGGTTTGTTGGGGGTGGGGATTTGAGGTTTGTTGACTCGGGAGGGTGTCAGTGTTGCAAGAAAGGAATTGGTTGTCGAGAAGGTGAGTGAGAAAGGTATGGTGGTTTGTTTGGAGAATGCGATGCAGTGGTGGTGGAGTTGATGTTGGTGTTTGGCGGAGATAAGAACGGTTATCGGAGACAAGAGAACAGCAACAGCAACAGCAACAGCAACATGCCAAAACTTCTACTACTACTCTCTACAAAGAACCACTGACAAACCACTGCAAACATTCTAAGCATTTTTCTAATCATAATACATCCTAGCATCCACGCCCCAATCACAAATTCGTACTCATGCGATGCACAATCGGGACCGCGCTCGGAGGCAAGCTCCCCATCTCGGTGACCACCATATCCACATACTCGGCCGGCGTGACATCGTACATGATGTTGAGCAGCTGCAGGTTCGCCGACTCCTTCCACCCCGTCAACGGCGACGAGACACTCTGCGCCAGCGTGTTCGACTCCGCCGCCGCATTGGCCGCCGCCGCTGCCGCTGCCGCTGCCGACTTCCCGCCGCCACCGCCGCCGCCCTTCTTCGCGTCCGCCGCGGAGGCCGTCACGGCCGCCGGGTCCGGCAGGCCCGTCAGCTGCTGCATGGGCTCGGCGGTGATCAGCTCGTCGGCGTCGGCGATCTCGTTGACGACGATGCTGTCCAGCGCCACGCGGTCCGTGAACTTGACCGTCTCGCAGCAGACGATCACGGGCACCTCGACGCCGCCGGCGCGCTCCTTGGCGCTCATGGCGACCAGCGCGGTGCCGACGCGCGAGTACAGCCGGCCGTTGCTGGTCATGGCGTGCGCGCCCAGGAAGACCTTGCTGGCCGCCTTGATGGCGTGGCTGATGCCGTGCACGAGCGAGTACTGCACGTCCAGGCCGGCGTTGGCCAGCGTGCGCGCCAGGCTCTTGCCCTCGAACAGCGGCCGCGAGTCGATGATCGAGACCCGGAACTTCTTGCCCTGCTTGTGCGCCAGCAGCAGCGTCTGCTTCACGATCGAGCTGCCCGCGAACGTCACGATCACGTCCCCGTCCTGGATCTTCTGCGCCGCGCTGCTGGCGATCACCTGGTCGGCCACCGTGATCTTCTCGCGGATGAAGCTGTCGATGAACTCGCCCAGGAACGCCTTGGCCTCCGCCTCGGGCGTGGAGGGGTCGATGGACGAGATGGCCAGTTTGAGGGCGCGGATCGCATTACCCTGGCTGATTGACAGGGGCCGACAGGTCGACAGGTAGGTAATCTGGTGGGAGAGGTACGTGGTCAAGTGGCGAGGGAGGGAGGTTCCCATGGGCGTAGTGTACGCTTCGATGACCTGCAGCGGTCAGTAAGAACATCAAATCCATCAGAGCATAACCCCGGGGGGACACGCCCGACTCTAGGGCCTATTCCAGAGTCCAACCCCCAAGAACCAAACAGAAACCATCAAAACTCACCCTCTTAAAAGCCAACAAAGTAGCCACACACCTTGCACTACTCCCACAAACCACATAATCCCTCATCTGCAGCCCCAACGCCAACACCGCAGGATGCACCTCCTTGCCCGCCCCAGCGACCGTCGTGCGTCGCTGCTGCCCATAAAGATGTCCAAACACCGCCACATTCTTGTCGTCGGCCTTCTTACTCTTGCTCTCCCCACTCCCCCCACTCCCACCACCACTCTTCTCCAACCCGCCAGCCGCCGCCGCGCCAGTCCCCGAGACACTACCCCCACCACCATTCTGCGAGGTATTCTGCGCGGATCCCCGGCGCGGCAACTGTTTGGATCCCCCACCACCGCCAGTAGAGCCAGCAGCCGATCCGCTGCCGTCCTTCTTGCCGGGCGTGGCCGCACCGGCGGGAGCTCCGCCTGCAGGGCCGGACTCGCGTTCGGCGCGTTCGCGGGCCCGTCGCGCCGCCTTCTCGGCCTTGGCTCGCTTCTTCAGTTCGGCGGGCGTCAGTTGGGCGGGGGCGCCGTCGGCGGGGGCGGGGGCGCCAGCGGCGGTACCACTGGTGGCGGCATCTTTGGATTTGTTGGCTGGCTTGGACGGCTTTTGTGATTGGGAGGATGATTGCTGCTTCGTGGGTTTGGAGGAGGTGGGTGCGGTGGAGGCGGTGGACGTGGTGGGAGCTGCTGCTCCTGCTGCTGCAGGTGAGGGGGAGGGCGCGGTCGGAGCTGAGCTCGTCATTTCGCCGGTCGTGGGCGTGGTCGTCGCGGTCGCGGTCGCGGAGACAAGGGATTGCGAGCGAGTGCTGGTGTGCGCTGGCAGGATCGGGGTGGTCATCAACAGGAGAGATTTCCAGAAAGGATGACGGCCGGCGCGACAAGCATTGAGGTGAGACCAGAGAGGCTGAGAATCAGGTTGTGGTTGTTGCGGGCGACTTTTTCGGAGCGGATTGGGAAACGGAATGTGGGGAATCAGAAAAGGGCTTGAGTCACGAGTTTGGCCGCGTCGGATAAAGAAACCCTCCATCTTTACTCTTACACCGACCAAGTACTGTAGGACAGGCAGATGTTACATTTCATTTTCTCACGGTCCTTCGTAACAGCATCTTCGTAAGAGTAACACTCGACTCTTATATTCCGTATTCCGCATTCCGCATTCCATCCAACTCATTCGGGCATCAAAACATTTCATCGTGGCGCGGTCTGGCAGGCATCTCCTCGAAGACCCTACCATACGTACAAATCGTTCCATCGTGGCATCAGTACATCAGTTAAAACAGCAAACGAATTACAGCACGCCAATAGCAGAGATGACCATCCCAGCCCAGCTATTACAAGAACCGGAGGTCTTCGGAATCACACCATTTAGTCCAACACCAATCCGCATAACGCCGTCGAATCCCAGAAAGCCACCCCACGCTGCAGTCAAACATCTCCGAAGCCTGGCTTCCCTATCGATTGTTCCCCCAGATGGCGCCTAAGGCTCGTCGGCCCTTTTGATCCTTTCTCACTGGTTGGGGTGGTTGGAATCGTTCATGGTCCGTCGCCAACTTGCGTTTGAACACACTCAGGTCCTCCAGCAGGTCTTCCATGTGTGCCTGTATCTGGTGCGCTTCCAGATGAGTCGAGTTCTCGTCACTCACAGGGGTGCCTTCTTCCTTCCATATCGAACTCGGCTCCGACTCGTCCCCGGATGTAGGAGCTGGGGACAAGGCCCGACTGTAGCGCTTGCGCGTGGACGGGGAGCTCGCGGTTTGATTCACACTGTACAGGCTGCTCCGCCGCTCCGGCACAATCACCGGCGGGATGGGGTTCCGGATACTATCCAACGCCAATTTGAGATGGTTGCGAAGGGCCTCGTTCTCCGTCTGCAGCTGGCGGATCTTGCACTCGCTAACCATTTTGGTTTCCTCCATCAACCGCTGCATTTTCTCCACCTTCTGCTGGTATTCCTCGAGCCGCTCGTTCTGGATCTCACTCTCCCGTCGGTTGGCGGTCGCTTGGCTAACACTCAGCTGCAACGTGCGGATGGTTTCCACCATCTCGGCAATCTGCTTGTCGCGTTCCGCAGCAGACAAGTGATCCTGGTTGACCCGAGCACGCGTGCGGATCCGCTTGGCCTGGTCTGCATATCGCAGCGTTGACAGCGTCTCCTCGTAGTCGGAGGGTGAGATGCACGCAATCATGGCGGTCTTGGAGTTGCCGCCAAGACTGTCCTTCAACAGCCAGGTGAGGATCGAATCTCGATAGGGGACAATGTCCTTGCCCTTGCGTTTCGCTGGACGGCCCTGCTGCGGATCAGCTAGGGCCGCAATCACCCGTCCCAGTGTCGTCAGCGATTTGTTGATGTTGGATCCTTCCCGGAGACGCTGACCGGTCGCCTCGGTGGACTTGGCTCGCTCCGACCCCGCCAGATCGACCAGACGGATCCGCGCCGTCCGCTCGGTAGTCTCGTCCGTCGACAAGTCATGATGGATCTGCTTGAGCGTGATCGTAAAGACCGCATGCGACCGCGAGGAGGTATCGTTCATCTTGGTGCTGGCCACGGTCCGGGACATATCGCCTTTACGCATGTACCGCATAATCTCCCCGTAGTCCTTCACCGTCACCTCGGTCAGGTCCTTGACATACGGTCCTTCCGTCGGAGATTCGCGAATGCGAAGGTAGTGTGGAGGCTCCGTGCGCGGCACCAGCAAGTCACGTACGTGCTCGTTGTAGACTTCAAAGTACGAGACGCGGACATTGTAGCTGATATCCGGGGCTTCCGCGGTTTCGATCCGTTGGAACAGGTCCTCGCAGGTCCGTGGGATCAAGCCCGGCTGCTCTGACGTCCCCATCATGGTATAGCTCTTCCCGGATCCCGTCTGCCCGTACGCGAAGATGCAGGTATGGTATCCCTCAAAGTTGTGGTCCAGAAACTCCTCTCCCAGACAGTTGTACACGTCCTCCTGCGTCGCATAATGTTTATCTTTGGTGTTGTGCGACCAGAACGAATTGTCGAACACAAACGACTTATCCTCCTGGACCTTCCCGCGCGCCTGCGACTTGGGTTTCCCTTCATCATCGGGATAGGATCGAGGTGCCCGGAGCTTGGTTGTCTGGGTGTGCGGGTCCATAGAGATCAGACATTGGGCTCTGCGCTCGATTTCTGGAGTTCATTGGGCGGTACCAGCCCGCGATCAGCTTTCTCCCATCCTGCTTCCATTCCGTTGACAGAGACATACCTCTAGGCAGAAAGGTCCGCACTCGGACGACAACCCGGACGTTCCCTCCGGGCGAGGGGCTAGAGAGGCCATCGACTCGACGCGCCGCGACGAGAACGCTTTCACGAGCGCGCAGCGAAGGGCTCGAGGCAGTTGACCGTAACATAGCAGCAGAAGCGGTCATCGCGTGGGAGGACGGGCTAGTGATGCCGGTAATAGCGGACATGGCGGATGACGTGACTGAAGCCGGGGAGCTGAGCCCGTTGCCGTAGCCGAGATGGTGGTAAACCCGAGGATCCAAGGCCATATCGGAGCCGTGGTCGAGTAGAAACTGCAAAAGCTGAGTGAGGTGGTCGCGTTGGCGTTGCAATAGGTAGTGATACATACGGGCAGGGCCAAAAAGACAAGTCCGGTCAGGTCGTCACTGCTAGGTTCGTTTGGGGGGCCCCCCGTGCACCGGATAAGTCGTCCTTTCCCGTGGGCAGGGAGATCCAGTTATCAAGTAGCAGGTACGATGCTCCGGGGGACTTTCAGGTTCGAGTTTGGTCAATCAATCGCACTTTGGTTCTGAACAACAATGATCGGCCGGCGGCATGGGGAGCTACTATGAAACGGAGTAGATTGTAAACAGTCCGGGAACGAATTGGGGGCTTCTGCAATGGAAAGTCAAAGAGAGAAACATGCAGCAAAGAACGCAAGGAGGTCGAAGACAAGACACACCCTCTCTGGGGAGTGAGGCGCAAGAGGGCGAAAGACAGACAGTAACAGACAGTATGGGTTAGCGATGGACGAGGAGGCCGCGATATGGAGAGGGTGGATTCGTTTGGGGATGTCCCGATGTGGACTAGACGACAGCCTTAGGCCGCGGTAAGGCCATCTCCCCGGCTGCGGTTGCCATAGCAATCTATCCCGAGACCAAGTCTGTGGCCCATTTCCAAGTGCTGAGAGATGAGACAACGTAGAAGTGGATCAGTCAAGTCCAGTCCATTGTGTTACAGTGGGTCAGAAGAGGAATCCCAGACGTTTGGAATCTTCGACATTTCGATGTTTCAATCACAACTAACTAGCACAAGTGGTTACTAACATAGTTCCAATTCATTTTTCATTTCGTATCATTTCATTTACACATGTCTCAATCCGCATAGCAGAAGGCTGACGCAGACAGACGCAGTCGCTAATCGACTGTGCCTCTGACTGACCGTCATAAGACAGTCGTGATTCAAATCTGGGAGTTTAGTCGAAGTCATCATTAGCCGCGGCAAACATGTCTCCTTCGTCCTGGCCTTCACTGCGGCCGCCTTTGGACGCCTTGCCCATCCTGTCACCGTCAACGTAGGAGATGGGATCGGGCACAGGGTTGCCGTCGCGGTCCATGGTAGTCTCGAACATTTCTTCTGGACTCCAATTGGCAGTGGGATCGTCTTTCTTCGAACCGCCGGCCTGATTCTGGGCGGTTTGCGACATGCGCGAGGTGGTTTTATCTTTTGAGGACTGCATGGTAGATACTCGTTCTGTTCTCGATTAGTCGCAGATATCGTAGCCCGTATACAATACAGTCGACAGCAGCACTCCTGAGACAGGAAGGACAGCCAGCGTACCAGTGATGATACAGTTGTTCGATATTGGTTCCAAGACTGATGGTGATTATTCTGAACATGTCCGACAGCCGGTCACAGTGGGAATCGAGGGAAATATATGGCCCACGGTGGCACAGATGATGCGTCAATGACGCTGGGACTTTGGAAGGTGGCCCATGAACTGGTTGCGAAGCTGATTGCTTCCCCGCAAATTGGTGAGGTCATGACGGGAGTTGGCGATGAGAGTATTGGTTGCAGCCTCGGGCTGGCCACGACATCCCTCTGGTTCGGCTGTCAGTTCACGTCGGGTTCCACGGATAACTCCCTCCTTTTAATCAAGGGGATTTCCATGGTTGAGTCGATGCCATATGGCTGACAGTTTTCATTGTGTGGAGGAGAGCAGACGGGGTCGGGACGGACCAACGGATGTCACCAGCCATATTCACGATAAGCAGCCAAGAATGCGGAATGCGCCGGAGGGCTTGGGGTTGGGAGGATAGGGGAGGAGAGGAGAAAGGCAGACAGGAAATAGGGCTATCGGTTGCAGGCTGCAGAAGGTGAAGAAAACGCCGAGCCGTGCAGAAGCAATAATGGAGTATTGGGGATCGGATGCTGATGCACGAGGCAGACTAGAAGAGACTATCGCTGTCGGCAGACCAGACTGCCCCGATCGCCACCCTCTCTTTCACCGGGCGGGCTGCTTCGTGGTGATGGGGTCGAAAGTTGGGTGTGATGTGGTGGGAATGCATCGCGAACCTTGGAGTGATGGATGACTCTGCTCACAGTCAGCCAGCGTACCTACATTCCATAGAGTACAGTATGTACTTGTAGGTACAGTACTGTACATGGACTGCATCCTCCACTTCAGTTCAGCCCTATCCGACCGGGTGGATCGAGGGAGCAACAACTGGCGGGATTCTCCTCCTTCGCCTCTCCTCTTCTCCCCATCTCCATCCACCTCCACCCGTTGATTGACTCACGAAAACATCAATGCAGCGCCAAGAGAAACAGACTCAACGAGTCTGCACTTCTGCCGTAGTGGACTAATGGGAATGGCGCAATCTGGACAATCCGCGCCGGTGAGAAGAGAAGAGGCAGGGAAGAGACCAATCCGCGAGTCTTATCATTTGGCCAAGATGTAACTAGTCATCGTGCGCCGAAAGACGATCTTCATCACTCACTGTCTGTCCAAAAGGCGGCCTGTCAGCTCCGGACTTTGCTCTGAACATTTTCTTCCGAGGCCGGTCGTCGGCGCCGCCGTGGATAAATACGGTGACTGCCCCAGGCCCGGCGCCGGCGTGGTGCAGGCCCAATTCTTTTCCAGCTCTCTTCTCTGTCCCATATCGATACCCGTGGGTAGTCTCACACCAGAAAACACTACTCAACTCACACTCATGGCCGAGAAGCCCCCCGTCTCGTCTACCCCCGAGGGTAGCGACCTCGAAGCCTCCGACCCGGAACCTCAGATGAAGAAGCTCACCTTCTCGCAGCGCTGGAACCAGAATGTCGACCCAAAACACACCGACCTGATCTGCTTACTGCTGTGCTTCACCACGGGACTCTGCGACAGTAGTGCATACAACGCGTGGTCGTGTTTCTTAGCCATGCAAACGGGTACGCCATCCTTCCTCTGCCTCCTCACCTTATCTCATCTCATCCCCCACTAGTCCTTCTTCACACTAACACTAATCCACTCCAGGAAACACAATCTTCCTCGGCCTAGGCGCCTCCAATCAACCCGCCAACAAACCGTGGGGCTGGTTGAAATCCCTCATGAGCATCGGGTGGTTCTTCATCGGGGCGCTGGTCTTCGCGAACCTGACGCGACGTAGCGGCAACCGCGCGCGGGGCACCCTGGTGCTCTCCTTCCTGGCGCAGACGATCCTGATCATCATCGCGGTGGCCATCATCGAGGCCGACCTGATCCCGCACACCTCGACCGACAGCAAGCTGACGGGTGGCCGGCTGTTCCTGGAGCTGATCCCCATCGCGCTGCTGGCGTTCCAGTCCGCCGGGTCGATCACCTCGTCGCGCGCCCTGGGGTACAACGAGATCCCCACGGTCGTGCTGACCAGCGTCTACTTCGACGTGGCGTCCGACCCCAAGCTGCTGCAGGTGCCCAACGGGAACGTGAAGCGCAATCGTCGGATCGGCGGGGTCGTGTTCCTGTTGATCGGGGCGATTGCGGGCGGCTGGTTGAGTAAGACGTCTGGCGGGATGGAGTCGGCGCTGTGGATGGCGGCCGGGGTGAAGTTGTTGATTGGGCTGGGGTGGTTGGTCTGGAAGGGGGAGACGAAGGGTTGAACCAGTTCATAGGGTGGAGCTGATGGATTGAGTAATGTTGTGGTTTTGATATAGATGTGAATACAGTACATTGATAGAATTCCTACTTGATCACTCGTGTCGATTCAGTGTTAAGGGGTACTGTAGACTTGAGTCATTGGTGGCAGATTATTCTTCCTACCTAATAATTTATCCAAGAGCCGTCAAGACTACAGTACTTCCAACGGAATACACTATGAAGCTATACAAAATCTAGTCTCACATAGCCATCCATAGCCTCATGGGCAGTACCTTCAATCTACCACCAGAGACAAGACTCTTACTTTGCATAATCCAAGTTGATAGAGATACCACACTTCCTCTAACCTTCATAACCCACAATGACATGACCGCCCCACGCTTTTCAATTACGCTATCTCACCACTGAATCCAGTTATAATGTAACTATCTGGGGGAGAACCCCCAGACCGCCCTTTCTTTTCAGCTTCCCAGTAAATTATATCTCAATCCTAGAATGTAACTATCTGGGGGAGAACCCCCAGACCCCCCTTTTTTTCAACTTCCCAGTAACCTTAACCCTAAGTCCAAGTTATTGTATAAGTATCTGGGGGAGAACCCCCAGACCCCCCTTCCTTTCAGCTTCCCAGTCACCCCTCACCACAACAGAGAGCCCCCCTACGCTCACCAACGACCGCTACAATGATAAAGAAACAATAACTACCACAATCAACCTCAACACGCATATATCTACACCCGCGCAACCACTCAGCCACTAACACCACAGAACCCAAGTCAACCCAGCCAACCACCACGAGGAGGGTCACGAGATCCAGTCCACGGTCCCCAACCTGCATCCGGCTTGGAGGCGAATGGATGCCCGTGGGGTAACTGGCTGGCTGGATGCGGCACTTTCCCATAAGCCCCCGGCCTCCACTCAGCCAATACTAGTGGTACCGCAGTAAAGCGAAGACCCCCGGGCCCACTTGAGTTGCACCCATTGAAGTCCCGATGACCGTGACCGTGCCGTGGCCTGGCCCTTCCCCACCTCCTCGCCTCCAACTTTCAACAGATGACCCCTCATTCTCCTCTCCACCACCTACAATGCAGGACTATGCATGTAGCTAGGTAGACAATAGAAACAGACAATAGACAAGAGATCAACCATTCACCCCAAAGGCTACCTCCCTCCATCTCCTGAAGCCCACCAGGGATTGCACCCAACCCCCCAAGTGCAACAATCAACAAAGGAAAAACACCGCACTGAACCCCCCACCATACCAACCGACATCATCACCACCACCACCACTACATCCAATCCCACTCCAACCCCAAACCCAATACAAGAAGAAAAAAAAATCGACGTCATCCAGCGACCAAAAAAAGAAGGCAACCAAGAGCAGAGCCTCCCTCCCCGCCGGACAGCACAAGAATCCAACCCCCCAACCCTCCAAAATTCCAAGCCCAGCCCACAGTACAGCAGAGCCACACACTTAACATACAGACAGTACACATACCAGATAATAACCGTGCATGCAGGACACACGCGCACACCACGTACTCAACATTCCCCATCTGTCGCGTCTATGCTCACGGTCCCTGAAGGAGCTGAGGTCATACTTACTGTATGTACGGACATTCCCCATGAGTCATCGTACAGTACCTGCCCTCATACCCCAAAAGCAGTAGGGGCTGACGTACACCCTATACTATACTGGCAGTACAGGACATGAGTAGTGTCTGTCTGCAGGGTAAGCAGGTACGAAGTAGGTGGTGGGTACAGTCACAGAGTAGAGTACTGTGGTTGACTCTGTTGATTTTGTTAGTACAGTGAAGAGGTGCAGGGATTTGAATTCTTTAAGTAGTATATCTACTACTATACACCGCCTTTCTTATCAAGCTACGTGTCAACTTCTTAAAGCTGTGAATGTATTAAAATTATTAATATATACTAATTCTTGTTGTTTTAAAAATATCTTTAATATTTAAGCCTTTAATACCTGAGCCTACCTCTTTTAAAACAACAAATTTAAAGTACCTTAAATAAGATGACTGTCTGTGAGTTTTTACTTTTTAAAATACCGGCTTAATATATTAACAAATTGCAAATCAACTTTAAATTAGTTATTGCCAAGTTTAATATATATATTAAAGCTAATAAGCTATTCTGAAGAAAGCTAAAGGTGCTAAAGTAAAGCTATTAAAGTTAAAAGTTAATAAAGTTATATAATAAATCTTTAGTTTAAAGTATATATACTGTTTACTTTACTACTGTATTGTTAAAGAGCTTAAACTTTCTATTAAAGCAACTGCTTTAGCCTATACTTTAAAAAAAAAGACTATTTTTAATATAAAGTACTTTATAAACCACCTCTTACTCCGGCTAATAAAAAAGCAAAGTTAGCCTAGGCATTTAAATACTTAAATTAAATATATAATTAGTAGAGTTAAATTTTTTAAACTAATAAAACCTAAATAATCTTAGACTTTTATAAACAGATTTATATAATTTATAAAGCTGGTAAAGAACTTAATAAAATATATTTTTATACAAGTCTACTATATAAATATAGCTGAATATTTTAGATATTTTTTTATAAAAATTATAAAGGGCTATATTTTTTTTGGGAGAAGAACTGGGGCAGTATTAATACTAAATATTATTATAAATATATTATTTTTATAATCTACAGCTATATATATTTTATTAAATATAATAAACAACTACAGCTTTAATTAATATAAGATAATACGCCTAGATATACAAGCAGAGATATAGTCTAAGATTTTTAAAAGTATAGGATTTTTTTAATTAGTTAATCTACTTTTTTGCCGGATTTTAATCTAATTAAGGCTGTATAGAATTAGATAAAGAATTAGCTTAATTAATTCTTTTTTAATAATAAGCAATTATTATATAATTAGCTATAAGAGGTTATACGGGCTGCTTGGAATACTTTACTAAAAAAATTCTTAAAAAAATTAATTAAAAGTATAAAGGTAAGGTGCGAGGCAGTTATTAACACCAAAAATAGCTATACAAAGTATTAATAATTATATATATAGCAGAATTTTAAAGGATTTGAATCCCTGCATCTCTACTGTACTAACAAAATCAACGGAGTCAACCACAGTACGTACCCATACATGGTGAACCTCGCCACCGTGCCGCACGAGGGGCGGAGGGGCCGGGGGGGGGCCATGCCTGCGTGCATGCCGATGCACGGCAGAGGTATTCTGCAGACCTAGGGCTGGGGAGCAGGGGCCGCACCACGCCGGCTACAGCCACAGCCACGGCCACAGCCACAGCCTTCTTGGTGTGGCATCTGTAAGCAGGCGTTAAGCATTACGTTTGAATCCGTACATTGCTACCCTTATGACAGGAAAATTCATTGTATCAGTTGTATACTGTACTGTATGTCTATCAACGGTCAAAGATAGTAAATGTAGGCAACGATGTCTAACCCCACCCCTAAAAAAAAAAAAAAAGAATGATTCAACCAACAGTCCCGGGGCGAAACAGTGATCGCAGAATGGTATCATCAAAAAGACAGATCGAAACGAAGAAAAAAGCCCACAGGAATCGCAGCAGCAACAAACAGCGGAAAATCGCAGGTTACGCCGTGTGAAACTGAACAAGGCACGCCAAAGGAAATCAAATCCCCAGCCCAGAATTAGAAGCCATGCTTGAAAGCTTGAAAAACAATATTCCAGAACGCAAACAGAAAAAGCATTCGCGTGAGAATGATAGACGGAACTGTTCACCCTGAAGATGCACCAATAAGATGGAGTCACCAAACGCGCTGAAATGCATGCCGACCATTAAATCCAAGCAATGTAAGTCGGCAACAACTGCACATGTATCCTGTAATCCTGCGTGATGCGGATAGTGCTGTCAAAAGCTCCCATGTAAATACCAACAAAACCAAAACAGATTAATCAGATAGTGCTTTTAGTAGTCGCAGTCGCAGTCGCAGAGGTTAGGCGGCCGACGGGCGACGGAGAATCTCTTCGCAGTTGGCGTCAAACCGCATGTTCCACAAACGGATGCTGTTCATCAGCTTCTCCGTACTCTCCAGCTCGCGATCCCGGCCAAAGATCGTCTCGACAAACTCACAGCCGGCATTACGGCCCATCGACACAGAGCCCTTGCCCCCTTCCCGCTTGGCCGCCTTCCACATAAACTGCTCACAGGTTTTGAGCAGCTTCTTGAACCGCGCCCACAGGCGTTCCCCGCTCTGCAGGAAATCCTCCACGACCTCCTGCGCCTCGGGGCGCCGGATGCGGTCGAGACACTCGTTGGCTCTTTTCACCTTGCCGGCCAATTTGATCAACAGCAGCCACAGGTCGCCCGCCACGTCCGCCATGGGCGTCGACGCCCCATGCGTGAACACGGTCCAATCGTAGATCCACTTGCCCAGCGAGTTCGCGTCGAATACACTCCCCAGCAGAATGATCGGCATCTCCGTTGGGTCCCAGTTCTTGATCGAGTAGCCCGGGGGAATCCCTGCTCGGGCCGCATCGGCTTCTGTGGCTTTGGGAGCTGGCTTGGAGGTAGGAGCGGACGGCTTTGGCTTGTTGGGCGTGCGGGTGGAGGTGGATTGACGGCGCGCCCGAGATCGCTTGGCCGTGTCAGCATCTTCATGGGCAGGCACCTGGTTATAGTAGAAGTATTGATCAGTGGGTGGCTTGGGCTTGCGGTGAGACGTCGACGGCTTGCGACGCGGAGGACTGGGTTCCTCGCGGAAGACGTATCGCGGCGCATCGCCGTCGGATCCGTCGTCGACCACATCCACAAAGATGGGCCGGGTGGGCGACGGGTGCGACGGGTGGGCGCCGGCATGTTCCCACGGGCCCGCCGCTGGGGCCCCGGACATGGTGCTGCGACGACGAGAATAGCCACCAAAAGAAGCACTTACAGGTTCGTGCTTGCGCGGTGGCGTGCCATATTCTGGCATCGCTTCGTAGAACCCTTGCCCATACCCAGCATACCATCCGGCGGTCTCTTTCGGGCCGGCGTAGCTGGCTTTGCGGTTGTGGCGCTTCGACGGACCGCGCGGCGAGCCGTAGGCATTGGCGAAGGGGGAGGCGTAGTAGGCGTAGTGGGGAGACGTGGGAGGAGAGGTCGTGTAGTCGTAGGACCACCCGGGAGGTGGAGTAGTGTAGTGATACATTATCGAGAAACGTGCATAGGAAGTCGAATCACGCTGGCAATCAAAAATAGGTCGTGGACGAGAGAACTTTTAGAACGCGGGGAAGAATCTCCCGATCGCAAGATATCAAAGGCGCGAATACAAACAGCACAACCCAGGTATATTATACAGGATATCGTAGTAACAAGCCGATCGACGCCGAAGCAGAGGACAACGAAATCGGAAGATTGATGGGAGAGAACCGTCACCGTGGTGCGGTTTCTGAGGGAGAGGAGGGATAGAGCTGTATGTGCCGAGAGTGCATTTGAACGTCGTTCGCTCTATCGAACGCTGAACGGGGCGTAGTTGTTGAAGGCGGCTATGCAGAGAAGCGACCTGTGATCCCTAGAAGACTCTACCGGAGTCCGCGACACAAGTGGCGAACAAGCGATAGCTGCGGTTGAGACTCGCTTGAATCGCTTAGACTTCGTTCATCCAACGGAGCTTGTTGTAGTATTCGTTGTTGTAGTAGAGGTTGAACCCGAACAGGGTGTATGAATGGTGGATGGATGGATAAATGATTCCAAGGGGGGAGCCCAGAGGGAGTGGAGGAGACAACCGGTTTTGTAACCACGGGACAGAATTGCAAGGGTGGACTGGGTGGATTTTGCAAGTGGGGGCTGCACTGGTGGTAACTGGTACTAGTGTCTTAGTCTCGCTTTGGGGGTGGAGGCAGCAAAAAGTGACCTCTCGCGTTCGTGGCCGTTTCGGTCTCGGCTTTACAATACCGTATTTTATGTGGTGGTGATGGTGGTGATGGAGGGATGGGTGCCTTGGGCGCGTTTCAGGCCCAACAACTCCCACTCCCAAGAGGGAGAGAGGGAGAGACAGGGAGGGAGGGAGAGGAAAGGAATGGGAGGGGAGGAAGAAGCACCAATTTGAAACCAGTGTGATGCTGCACTGGGTTTTAGGATTTGCTGCTGCTGCTGCTGCTGCTGCTATGAGAAGAAGAAGCTGATCCCCTTCCAGCTCATTTCCAGAGTCATCACCCACTACACCCTCTTTTCCAGAATCCGACCAAAGTGATCAGGTGGAGAGTACTGCTCCCTTATATACACTTTCCAAGGAGGGGGGAATGGATGACTACATGAATGAATGAAATGCGCAGAATTGCCGCCCACATTGTGCATTGCGGTCACTCTCCATGCCACTCACTCACTGACTCTTACTCATCATGGCGACAGGCTCCCGTCGGACAGAGTCATCTGAACAATTCCATCTACTACAGTACTTGCTACATACGATTATCCCATGTTGGGCATCCCCTCTCCCCCTCCCCTCCCATCTTGGTTGACGTTGCTGAAACAGGAGGAAGGAAGAACAAGATGTTTGTTGCCGCAACAGAGGCAGCGCAGCAGCGCAGCAGCATCCGCCCCTCCACTTATTCGCGTCAACATGGCCGTACATGGCGAACAGTGAGATGTTCGAACCCTCATCACCCTGTAGATAAGAGTCACGCTCTGCGTCATTGGCTGGACGCTTCGTCCAACATGGCTGGGGATTTCCCGCATGGCATCCGATGTACGTACATTACCCTACCGTTGGAGCCTGCAGGAAACGCGATGGAGTTGGCGAGCCGATCCTGTTGATAGTCCTTCATTCGGTCGTCTGGTATGTCAACTAGTCAATGAGTCATGGAGAGACCACATTGCCACGGGTGGCTCAGTCAGAATTATCGTGTAAGCGTTGATAATAATAGTCACCCATCTTCAAGGTCTCAGCATCAGCCCCAAGGCTTCTATATTCCACTGCAGGCAGGCGGGCTGTGGCGAAGATGACGCTGTCGCGCAACCAGTTAGTCTTATACGTGGGTGTCGCAGTCGAGAGATTAATGAATAATCGCAAAGGGTCGAAAGTACGACCTCTCGGGTACATGGGATCGATTAGTCGATTGCTGTAAATAGAGATAGTCCGAAGCCACTACTGTAAGATCCTGTCGAGTGTCTTATCGTTTGGTCTGGTCTGGCTTGGTTTGGTTCCATGGACAGCGGGTGCGGATGAGCCCGTCAACCGGTCGACAATCCATGGATACAGAACTCCAGGCAGGCAGGCATTTCCAGCCCAGTGGAACCAAATGGCATGGATATCTCCTGCTGTGGCCACGAGCACTAGTTGTGTAGTGTAGTGTAGTTGAGTTAAAATGTTGGGCAACTTGGGAGTTCTTTTTGGTCATGGTGGATGGGCGTTACCGCCGTCGCCCAGCAGCTGGGCAGCAACCTGAACCACCCATACTGGGCTGGTTGGACAGACCGCAATTTGCACAGTTGAGCGCGGGAGTCTAAAAAAGAGGACCCTCCTTTCACAATTAATTCTCCGACCGGGCAGATCCCTGATTTTCCTGTTTTTGTTCGAGAAGAAAGAAAGAGTCGGATGGAAAAGGTATCTGAGTTGAGACCGGAGCGATTGGAAACTGCATACAGGATCTGATGTGGTACTCCTGTGGAAAGGGAAAGTGTGGAAAGTACTCCGCGTACTCCAGACTCAGAATCTCGGTTTCCTGACAGGCCTGGCCGAGGCGCGAATGTGATAGGGCTAAGGGCGCCCTCCATGCAGGCTGGACCGCAAACGAGGGTCGCAAATTCACAGGTTAGGTTACAGTGCACTACACTACTACTATACTACTGTAAGAGGAGTATCTTACAGTATTTCTTCTCTCCTGCCCCACCATGCTTCGAGCCATGGCTTAGTGACTATCTTAATCATCAATCCCGACTGGCTCAGATCCTGCCCAATAGCACAGAGCTGCTAAGACTCTTAACCCCCCGGGCGAGTGAGAAAAGCTACGCAATCGGAGTTGCGCAGCCAGTCATGTCCGACAACCCCTGGCAGATAGGTAGGCAGCCCTTTTTCGCTTTGGGGTCTGGTCGCACATGGCGCTCGGGGTCCAAAGCAGGTCGAAGCCCAGATGTGATCATGGTTACGTGGTGGCGCCGAAAGTAGAGGTACTCCGTACCGGTACGGGCGATATGTCTCTCTTCTTCGAGGGTTGTCTCGCTTGCTGGGTCCAACTCCAACATTTACTCGCTATCAAAGAATGCGATAAACGCCATCGCGGCACTGGCTCCACCCATTGGACGGGCAACGGAGACGCGGTCGCGGGATGAGGGTCCGGTGGGCGCACAAGAGCAGAGCGGATCGACTCGGGATTCAGGAAGTATAGACCGTCAGTCCGTCCGTCAGTCAGTCAGTCACCGGGCACAGAGAGGAAACTCCGGATTGCGCAGCGCCAACGGTCCTAATGCATTCAGGAATTCTCCCGAGCGGCAGCAGTGATTACTTCTCAACATGGCTGCTGGCGGCCAACTAGCGCCTACATACTATAGATCACTACTGATTGATAGTCAGACCGGGGGAGGGGGAAGGGTCATCACAAGCGCGAATGTGACCTGCAATTCCCGTCACTGCTCGAGCGGGTGGTGCTCGTTTCTCAACCATTCAGCATTCAATTAAAGCACCGACTGGAAATAGAAGTTCTCTGGAAAGAAAGAAAGAACACGGCACAGCTCACAGAGCACAGAGCACTATCAGAGCTAAATACAAATTAACACTTTTTCTGCACTCCACCCACAGCCCAGGTCTCCACCGGCAGAGTTTTCACTTTTCACCGTCCCTTGCTTGTTTCTCGGAGCCGGAGATCTAGAACTGCGACTGTTGTTATTGTTGTGGTGGTGGTGGTGGTGTTTGTCTATCCGTATATCTCCCAAGTATGTCTGTACGGTAATGTACATACAATACAGAGTAGTCTGTACACAGCCAGCCAAATATTACAACCACCACGACCACCACTCAGCTGTCGACTCCCCTTCTCAGGTCATGCCGATTTTTGATTGATGATTGGACTATCAGTCTGGCTGCGACACGCCAGTTGAAGGCCCCTCAGCTAGGCCTGGCTGTATCTCACTCACTCCGATGTGTACAGATCTCCTCTGCAGCCGACCGATGCCAAAAGACCACACCTCCCTCTCTCTACGCCGTGGTCTCAAACGCGATCCTCCGTCGCCATTCATCTGCCGTGTTTACTTCGCATCCCAGCCACATGCCGATCCCACGCGCGCGCCCTCGCGACTGGAATCCGGGAATAATATGTGGGAGCGAAGTACGTAGCATTGTGTGGGTGACAGATGCATGCCCTTGCCCTGAGCCCTAATCATCAATCGATGTCCAAATACGAAGTGGACCGTTTGTTTAGACACATCAGCAACAAGGCTCAGCAACATTGGCACAGTGAGTCGTACTTCTCGAATCCAGCGGCAATCAGAACCCACTACCCACGGCACAGTTCAAACTAAATCCCTGGGCCCGTAGGCATAGACCCTAACTTATGCACCTCAATGCAATCGACAATCTACCCCGAGAACCCAATCAACTCTACCAGAAGATACCCCAATCCCAAGGATTTACTTTCTCCGAACGGAGCCTGAGTACTTACAGTAGGCAGTCTTCAATCCGAGCACGGATCCAAGCCAACCTGCCAAAAACCAACCAACCAACACCGTCACCCAGTGCTACATAGTACCTATGTACATAGTACAGTACATACTATACCCCAAAAAACCCCCTCCCCTCCCCCCCTCTCTCTCCTCCCAGACGCCATCATCATCCTCATCATCACAATCTCGATACGCTATACAGAGCACGCCCTACGCTAATAGCCGCTGCCCGTTCACGACCACGCGCAACGCTGCCGACACCCAGACTACCTAGTACATAACCCACCCTACCGTGCAAGCGACAGTGACAGTCCAGACCCCCTCTCCTCCCCTCTCCCCCCCTCATCGCCTCATCGCACCGAACTCAACATGTACTATCCCCATTATTCCCTGCAAGCATTCCGACCATCCGCAGTCAAAAAAGTGAGGGGTTATGCACTAGACCAGAAGCACACGGTTGGGTGTAGCGGTCCAGCACTAGAACCCTCCCTGGTCCTGGGGAAATGTGTTTGTCGACGTTGGGTGTTTGACCTCCCCCCCCCCCGCCTTCACTTTTGTCTGCTACATGACCTACCTACCTTTAGGACGGGAGGATAATGTAAGTTCCAAGCGGGGTTTGAGAGTCAAGATGCCAAACGCATCGGTTCTCGGGATAGTAGGTACTGCACTGTACTTCTTCGGCTGTAGACTGGATGGATGGATGGACTAGACTGGACGGTCTACGACGGGACTCAAGTCCAGGTGGTTTGAACCCCGCTTCAACTTCCCCCGGCTTCGTCGTAGATAAACGAAGCTGCCAAGTTCCCTGGAAGGGACAAAGTACGTAACCGAATATCCAATGACATCCCTGAACTCATACTTTCATCCAGGTAAGGTAGCCACCGTACTAGCTAGCTACATTCACCTGGCCCGATATCGGGGTGTTGACTCAATGTATGTACAGTACAGCCGTCCATACCGCTGGGTAGGGCTGTGGAAGTTGGAGTACTATGGAACTACTAACTACCAAAATAAGCACGATAAGTACTGTACAAACTTATCGACAAGGTACCGTAAACTGGACATACACCTAAGGCAGCAAGTATTGACTACTAGTACACTACCCCTCCGGGTTGGGTTTCCAACCCCACCGTTCTTTTGGTGGAGTGTACAGTGCCTAGTGGGCTCCACTTTAACGTCACTCTGAGTTTGACGTTTGAGATCTCATGTTGAATTAGCGTTACATATACGTGTACACGATATGGTTTTGCGAAGTGGGGGCATGGTGTAGCTAATGTCTTCTTCGTGGGTCGGTGGTTCAGTGGGTGGATGAGTTGTGGGCTGAAAGTCCGTAGCAAGGCTGTCTATCAGTGCGTGGCTGGACAGGATGGTGGTAGGATGGATAGGGAGACAGAAGTGTCATCCTCGGTGGAATACCCACTACCTGAGACACCAGATCCTGGCGTTGTCTCGGGTCTGTCGGACTCTGGCTCGTGGAATTTTGTTTGTGTTGGCTGGCTACGCAATCAGAATCACATGTTACTCTCCTGTTTTGTCACTCGTGTTGACTGAGTGGAAAGCAATCAAATCATACACACCTTGAGGATGCTTCTTGTATGGGTCATATGTATGTACACGCATCCTAGGTCTACTGGAGGGTACTATGTACAGTACGTACAAAATCAAAGTCATCTATACTATACAACGAAACCGTGATCCATCGTCAAGCCATATCTACGTACCCCGTCTATTTCCCAGGCAGGCATCGGCATCATCACTGTTACACGATCATATATTCGCCTTCTTCCCGTTTGACCTGCATCACCTCGTGCCACCGGAATCCCTGTCTGCGTGAAGGAGGCAGCGGGGCCTCCGTAGAGAGACCACTCCAGCCGCCCATATCGTCCGCCAGGCTCGCGTTTGCCTTCAGGTGCTGGTTGCCGAGACCTGCTGCTGCGCCGCTGTTGTAGGGATCCCCAGTCTCGGATGCGGGAGGACTTCCCGCCCATATCTTTTCCAAGAGTTCCAGACAGGTCAGATTGTTGATAAACCCGGAATCCTTGGAGAGATACAGACACCGCTCCCGGATGATCGCCCGGTGGCTGGACCGCACGCACTCGGAGCCCGTGATGAACAGCGGCCACAGGAGATACGCATCACACTGGACGGCCAGAATGTGAGTCATTGTCCATTGCACAATTTGCTGGATACGAGGGTGGCCAGACGGCAAATCGGGATGAGCAAGTCGCTCGCTGTAGAGAATCGCGGCGTGGCGAAAGGATTCAGAAATATGAATCACATCATCCAGATGCTGCGGCGCCACCCTGGATTGGCTCGGAGGAGATGACGGTGGCGAGATGTAGGTCGTCGCATGGTGGGGAGACGATGATTCTCGCCGCCCCGAGTCAAACCTCCACGATTCAAGCTTCTGCCGCAGGCAGTGCCATTCGGCCCAGAACAAGGGAGAAGTCGGAGCTGAGCTGGAGTCCCCCGCCTGTGAAGGAATGAACCTCGTAAACGACTCGGAAGGCATACCCGGTGTACTCGTTGAGCTGTACGCGATATGGGGAGGAACGGTGGTTGATGGGGCATGGACTTCAGGAGATACCGAGGTCTGCGTATCTTGGTTTCGACTGAGGAGATTCAGGCGACCAAGCTGCGCAATGAGTTTGAACAGACTGGCATTACATCCAGCCAGATTTTCAAGCCCCCATTCGCCATCCGAAATTGCGGTTATGTCTAGACAAGCTCCCCGAAGTTGGATATCCCGGTCGTTCGTGGTGGCCGTCATAGTGTCGAGCCAGGTGAACATGCGAATAAACCATTTCAATTCTTCGGTCACATGGGCGGTGCCGTTGCATAGCCGAATGGCCAACAACTTGGTCACACCAGCGAACTGGGTCTTGAATTGCGCGACCCCCGTGTCACATCCATGGAAGAGGCATAAGACGAGTAAAGTCGCGAGCACCGAGTCCGATAGCCGTTGTCGCGGATCAGCCAATTCTCCATTCAACGCCTTGACCGCCATACTTCTGTGAAGATGCTCCTCGCGCGCCGAAACTTTGGGGACATCAATACCAGCCTGGGTGTTCAAGGATGCCTCCGTCAAAGCCTGGTGAGCCAATGATGACATTCGTGCGGGCAGGGTACGCTCGGTAGACCTTGTGCCCCGTTCTCGTCTCTGACGCATATTGCACAGAGACAAAGTTGCTATAGCTTCTTGAAGCGATGCGCTTTCCTGCGCTAATCGCAGAACGTACGTGCGAAACGGATTGGTCGGCCCATCGAACGCAACGATCATTGGCGCAATCACTTCAGCATAATAGCTGATCAGGAATCGCAGGCGCGGTGTTCGTCCAATGGAGCGCGCTAATAGCTGCTGAGATAAGGACGGCGCATGGTTTCCAACGACCCAAGGAGTCCTGTCCTGGCCACTCTGCTCAACACGCTCAACGGCTGCTTCTTCAGGATCCGGATCATCCCTGGCCTTTGCAACTGGTATTAAAGTCTGTATTGAGGCTGGCCAGATCGGCATTGCCCATCTCGAAGGAGCCAACGAAGGGGCTGGTGTCGCGTGATGGCGGGCTGACACAGGTAGCGATTCTATACAAGGTAACGAACGGTTGGAAGTGGTATGGTTGTCAGATGACACCGGACCCGAATGCGATTGCAACTGATTCGCAGGTTGGTCTGAACTAGGACGTCTCCTCAAAATAGAAGGTGTGCGACCGGCTTCCGACGAGTCTAACGTAGAAGATTTCGGTCTTCTCTGCGCAGGCGACTCCGATGCAATGGAGTTTGTCGACTGTGTCGAATGTGATGCCCTCGACGCCGCTGTCGCACGAGGCTGCGGTGAGGCTGCAGCTGGCTGAGCCCCAGTCACCGGCAAGGATAGTCCTCGAAGCTTTCCCCGACTGGCCACCCCTACTCCCCATGTCAAAGTGGTCCTATAGCCTGCGCAATCGCGGCCATTGTCCAGACACTGGGAGCAGTACGGCCGTATCCGATCGCATTGACTCGCCTGTCGAGCACAGGTAAAACAGTCATCGGCTGCCTGGCTGATGACTGTTCTCTTCCGTCTTTTCCGCGGAGGTGCAGCGGAGACCGGCGGGGATTTGCGCCCCTGCCCCGTTGGCAGAGGTTCCATCATAGAGCCGACCAAAAATCGTGGACTGGAGGAGAGGTAAGCAGGAACAAGCTCAGACAAGCCAAGTGGAGGTGACCCGGGGTGCGGGGTCCCATGGATGATAGATCAAGCAAGGCAGGAGGTTAATCGCGTGGTCAAGTTGACAATGGCAGGACGGGTGTAGTAGTGGCAGCAGCACCGGCAAAGCTTATATACAGGAACCGACAAGGGATCGAGGTGACTGGGAGAAGTGCAGTTAGATGGTTCGAGATTTTATCACACAAACATATCAGAGATGACCCCCATTAGGCCCTCGTTCTAGCTTGCAATGGGTCCTGGAAAGGTGGACGGGCAGTGAAGGGCAGAAGCGGCGATCGTTGCGGTATCATCCGCCGTTAGGAGATGCCGACCCGGAGAGTAAACTAAACTTATGAACGGAACTTCTTAGTACTTGTTGAGTCTCTGTATTTGTCAAATTAAAATTGCCCCTAGCTGTAGGCTCCATTTCAAGATCCCCGCCGGTTGGTCTTGGACCATGGTTGAAGCTTGAGTAGAGGAAGACAATTGAGGAATAGGAGAACTGATGAATAATGCCTGAGGGAGGCAGCGAGAAGGAAAAGGTGGGTGAAGATGGGGAGGGAGGGGGGGAAGAGGCCCAACTGGGATTAGTGCGGCACATGTTCCCACCGGGCTGGATTCGGGTCTGGCCGGCCTTCTAAATCTATTACTCCTTTGGGGCAATCTTCTGCATCTTCTGCAATCTTCTGCAGCAAGTGGGCTCGTTTTTACACTTCTCGGTCGAAAACCGATCATCGCTTGAGGATCCATTCATTGATTATGCATTCATGTTCCTCTCAACGGTCCCATCGTCGGATATAGGACCTAGCTCGGAGCCATGACAAACCGTTCCAACTCAAACTTCTCCTCCGGGAGCCGTGGCTGCACTATATGATCCATACTGTTGCTATTCACCGGCCTTCTCAGTTTGTGTTTATATTCGTCCCACAATTGCACGAAGCATTTCTTCCCCATCAAGCTGCAAGAGATTTCAAAAACAATATTCCTTGAGTCAGCCAGCACAAAAAAGAACATCCACCGATGACTATCTCCAGACCTACAATGACTCGTAGACGTTGTTATTTATAGTGGTGCGCAACGTAAGTCCTCGATTCTGCCACCGCCTACCCAAGGAGCGCATCTCTCGACGATCGCCATTCATTTACCAACCATGGATTCTATCTCGACGGCGTCGAGGTCAATTGAGACCGACATTCATAACTTGAAAAAGAGCTAGCTGTATCGCTGCAACTGTCCGACTATCCCCAGTCTGATCTACCCACCCACCATCCTTCCCATCGATCAGCGTTTGAGGCCTTCCAGAGCCCGATAATAATCCAGGCCGCGATTCGCATCTCTCCTGGGACAACAACATCTCCGCAAATCCTCCCTACACGACCCCCTATCCTCAAAGTCGCCTATCATGTTGGCGCATGCGTGAGTATATTGCACAAATATTTGCTATTGAATCGTCTGGTATCCCTGTATCCACCGAACAACCCTTTCAGGTCGACGAAACGCACCCAGCCAAGAAACGAATCGCCTCCGTGAAGACTGCTAGCCAGCTAATCTCTCGATTGAGACGCTGTCTCACATACCAAGATGCCGATCCTTCGACCGGGTAGACTCAAATCTTTCGTCACGGCCACGGGCGCCTTGCTCCTCATCTGCACCGTCTATGTGTACTGGGCACCCCCGCCGGCGTCGGTAGTCCCCAGCACGGTGTTCGAGGTCCCTCTCGTCGAACGCCAAAATGCATTCTGGAAGGTCCTGAAACCGATCCTCGAAGAGAATGGGCCAAACTGCCCCTCGCCCGGGCACACCGACGATGCCGGCGCCGTCGGTTTCGACGCCACCTCCACCGATCCTCGCCCCGACCTGACAACCCTCGAAGAAAAGGACCTACATACCATGGAGGAGGCGCATGCGCGATACATCGAGGCGTGTCGGACGTCCGAGAAGCTGCGACCCATCCACTCGCCCGGCACTCGAGGCGTGGTTTCGACGGCGGGCGGAACCTACTTCCCCGTGTTCTTGTCGTCGCTGCGGATGCTCCGACGCTTGGGCTCGACGTTGCCCGTGGAAGTGTACATGAAGGACACCGACGAGTACGAAAAGCAGATCTGCGACGACATCCTCCCCGACCTAGGCGCACGGTGCCTGGTCCTCTCGGACGTGGTCGGCAAGAACGCGATCGAGCACTACCAGCTCAAGATCTTCGCGGTGCTGTTCTCCTCCTTCGAGGAGGTCATCTGGATGGACGCCGACTGCTTCCCGCTGACCAAGCCCGAGGTGCTGCTGGACGCGGACCCCTTCAAGTCCGCGGGGCTAGTGACCTGGCCGGACTTCTGGGCGATGACCGCGTCCCCGCTCTACTACAACATCTCGCGGCAGGCGATGCCGCCGATGTCGGCGCGCGCCTCCTCGGAGGCCGGGGCGTTCCTGGTGTCGAAGAAGACGCACCAGATGACCCTGCTGCTGGCCGCGTACTACAACTACTACGGCCCGTCGCACTACTTCCGGCTGCTGTCGCAGGGGGCGCCCGGCGAGGGCGACAAGGAGACCTTCGTGCAGGCGGCGGCGGCGGTGGGCGAGCCGTTCTACGCGGTCAGCGAGCGGGTGCAGGCAGTGGGCCACGCCAAACCGGGCGGCGGGATCTCCGGGTCGGCCATGGTGCAGACGGACCCGATCGCGGACCACGCGCTGACGAGCGCGGGCCAGTGGCGCGTGCAGGACCCCGCGGTGGCCCCCGCGCCCCCGGCCTTCTTCATCCACGCCAACTACCCCAAGTTCAACCCGGGCGAGAAGGTGTTCGGCATGAAGTGGGAGACGGCGCCCACGCTGCGCGCCGACGGCTCCGACGGCCGCGCCTGGCTCGTCCCCGAGGACACCGTCCAGCGCTTCCGCTACGACGTCGAGCGCGCCTACTGGGCGGAGATCAGGAACGTCAGCTGCGACCCCGCCATCAGCTTCTGGACCTGGGAGCGCAAGGACGAGATCTGCGAGAAGGTCGAGGCGTACTGGGCCAATGTCTTTGCCGAGCCGCACGACGATGATCCGCAATTTGGTTGAGCGCCTGGTCCTTTTTGTCGTGTGATATCAAATGGTTGTTGTCTTTTCTTTGCTTCTGTTCAACCTAACGGACATGTGTTATGAATGACACGGGTTTGGGGACCGTTGTGTACATATTACGTTTAGTCACGATTTTCTTCAGTCATGATACCCTCCCAACGTATAATCTTGTCCCAGAGTGTGGCTTGCACTTTCCATGATAGATGCTAGCAGAATAGTGGCTAAGGATTCGAGCCCCTACATCTGCTGCCATCATATATACAACGGAGCCACCATCATTCTACATGAGTTTCGATGCCGAACAAGAAGTCAAGCCATTCCACACCAGACACTACAAATCCCAGGCAATCACAGCGGAATGTCCAAATCAATCAATCATCATTCAGAAATCGTCATCTCATATCTTTTCAAGCTGATGAAAGAAGCAGGGTAACACGAGAACACAAAATATTATACATAAAGTCCAGCTTCAGGCATATTTCCTCCCTCTAGTGCTTGATCCCCTTCTCCTTGAGTCTCTGCTCGTCCTCGGCCTGGAGTTCGGCGTCGATCTGGGCGCCCTTGGAGGGCTTGTTGCCGTGGAGCTTGGCCTGTTGCACGGTGGAGTTAGTATGACTGAAGTGTGATGGACCAGGGCAAGGGGCAAGGGCAACGTACAGGCTTCGTGGGATCCTGCTTGCTGAGCTCGGCCTCGGGGTCCTTGGTGAAGTTGTGGTGGTGGTCGCTCTCGGGCTTGTTTTCTTGCGAGGCGAGCTTGTTGGCGATGGAGCGTTGGTCCTCTGGTAGTTAATGGGTTAGTATATTCTTGGAGCGGGTGGTGAGGGCGACACGGGAAGAAGAGGGGCACGTACTGGAGTCCAGGTTCTTGTGGCTGTGAGTCTGACCCTCGGCGTAGCGGGCACGCTCGTTCAACTCGGCCTGGGGGACGTTGCGCTGGTCGCCGGCCTCGTAGATGGCGCGGTTGCCGACGCTGGACTGACCGGATCCGTGAGTAGACATGATTGTTGTTGTGTTTAGAGAAAGGGGAAGGTTGATTGAGCTTGATGGATTGATGTTGGGATCGTGAGTGTGTTGTCTGATTGAATGCAGAGAGGGATGGTTGACTTCAGGTCACTTTATAGACCTCTGTCGAGGGCAGGACGACCTAAGTTGGTGATGTCATGGGGGAGTGTCGCTGAGATCATAACCCGGTGGGGAACCGCACCCACTTTCGGCCAGCTCGGTGCCAAAACCGCTTTTTTTTTTTTTCTGTTGCGTGCTGATGATGGATGATGTAGTGCTGCTGCTCTTTTTGTACTCAGCAGCAACCTGTTGCATAATCGATGTCTCTCCTTCCCTCACGTCGCAGTTGACGACATTGGTTGGACCCTGGCTGGTCCCGGTCAGTCTCGGCGGGCTTCGATTGGAATCTTTTCCGAGTCCACGACCAGGGGAAATGGATGGAGTATTCGACTGATCTTGGATCGGATCTTTGCAGTGGGCTTACTCATGCCCCGTTTGTGGTTACTGCAGGCGTGACTGGCTTCTGTTACAGTTTGTGTTCATGAAATTGTTGATCCCCTCGTAGACAAGGTGATATGCTCTGATATCATGGCTGGTGGTTTAGGAGCTCTTTGCTCCGGAGGTAGCGATCTAATGCAGTCTATCCATCATTCCACATTGCATGATGGAGCCTTTCTCGTTGGATTGATCTTACTCAAACAATATATCCTCACGCTCTGTTGTCGTCACTTCTTGCGTTGACAATGGAGCTGTCATGATTGCCCAGTGGCATCCGCAAAGATCACTTTCTCGGTGACCTTATTGTCGGTTAAGTGTCTAGAGAAGCACCATATATACGGTCGAGGTGCCTGACGGGTATGCAACTGAGACTTCCATTACACAGCTGTCACTTGCAAGCATAAGCTCAAGGCTGATGTGTGTTATAACGTATGTCAATTGCTCGAGAACCGGATGCCGAAACTCCGCATCGGCAGACTGTACGCAGTAGGAGTGCATAGTATCAAGTGCACAGTATCGAGTGCATAAGATCAAGCGCACGGAACTCGCAAAGCTGGAACCATAGACAACATCCCAAAGAGAGACAGTGTAGACAAAGGACAGCAAGACCTAGTCGAGATCCTAAGGCATCAGAATCGAAGCCAGCGATAAGTGGTGGTTATCGGCGATAAGAGGCTGTCTATCGATAAAAATGCACCAAAGCGGTTAGTGAGGGGAGGCCGCGGCCGGGCTCCGAGCAACTTTTTGTTCGCTCCGCCTACAATCGACCCTCTGTATACATTCATTCCCACCCCACAAATCCCAACACACACCAAGGAGAAAGACACAATGGTCAAGCGCAAGGAAATCAAAGACACCGACGTCGACATGGGGGGCACGGATCCCCGCGTCGCGAACGACTCCGACTCCGACGAGGTTTGTTTTTGCGCCGACCACTATTCCCCAAACACCGCCTCAAGAAAGAAGCCAGAACGATACTGACGCAAGGCATTTGGGGAAAAGGACATCGACATGGTCAACGTGGACTTCGAATGGTTCGACCCAGACCCGGAGGTCGACTTCCACGGGCTCAAGAACCTGCTGCGCCAACTGTTCGACAACGACGCCCAAGACCTGGACATGTCGGCGCTGTCGGACCTGATCCTGTCGCAAGCCTGGATGGGCTCGACCATCAAGACGGACGGCAAGGAATCCGACCCCTACGCTTTTCTCACGGTGCTCAACCTCCAAGAACATAAGGTCGGTACCCCCCTCCCTTGCCTCTCCCAAAAATCCCCATCCCCCCGGCAAACAAAACTAACCCCATATCCAAAGGACAAACCCATCATCCAATCCCTCACGCGCTACCTGCACCAAAAAGCCACCACCAACCCCGCCCTTGCCCCCCTCGTCCCCCTGCTGTCCGCCGCACAACCCAGCAAAGTCGGCCTCCTCCTCACCGAGCGCCTCATCAACATGCCCGCCGAGGTCGTCCCGCCCATGTACACGATGCTGCAGCAGGAGATCGCCCACGCGGTGGCCGACGGCGAGCCCTTCGACTTCTCGCACTACCTGCTCGTCTCCAAGACCTACGAGGAGGTGCAGTCCAAGCTGGACATGGAGGAGTCCCGCCCCCAGAAGAAGGGCAAGCGGTCTGCCGGACGGACGGATCGGTTCTTCTTCCACCCCGAGGACGAGGTGCTTGAGCAGCATGCCCTCTGCGCCGGCTCGTTCGAGTACTCCCGGAAGCAGGACGATGGGCACTCCGACTCCAAGCGCGCGTTCCAGGAGCTGGGCATCCGGACGAAGGGGAGTTTGATTCTGATCGAGAGGGGCCGGTTGGAGGGGGCGGTTAAGGCGATGGCGGAGTATGTGGGGGCTGGGGGGCAATAGATTTGTGGGGGTTTTGTGGTTTGGGGG